TCTCCCTTTTTCTCTTGATGTGAAAGCTCCGGAAGTTGTAGAAACCTTCACGTACCTGGTTAGCATCATCGGTGAACAAGGAGGAACTGATGCAGGCATAAAGGCAAGGATTGGCAACACAATAAAAACATTCCTACAGTTCAAGAATATATGGAACTCAAAACAATTGTTAACCAACATCAAAGCCAGAATCTTCAGTACTAACGTCAAGACAGTTCTACTGTACATGGCTGAAACTTGGAGCCCCTCTGGAGCTATTGTCGGTCCCAATTCCGGATAAAGGAGGACGAGTGGGCATGAGGTTAGCTACCTCATCCCGCAGAAAACTAACTAGCTAAAAAAAACGCTAACCAGAAATAAGTATCGTCTAGGTAATCAAAACACTACCTCCTTTCTAAATTGATATATTTTGCAAAGAGTTAACTTATCTTTATATTGAACAGGTAAACTGAAATTTGATCACAATAATTTTTATTATCACGATCCTATTATAATGAGCTATTTATTTTCAATGTTTCTTTAAATTAACTCTTCAATTATACTTAGTATTTTGATTCAAGTGGCCTAAATGAATAATTAGATAATATTCACTTTATATTTGACTAACATGTTGTTTAGCAAGTATACACATTGTTCTATCGTCTACCATTGATCAATTTGAAATGAAGAAAGTTGTTCGTAGTTTAATTATTGGTTATATGGTTACCTCATGTAAATAGTTATTTGTAATAGGATGTTCATTACTATATTTATTTATTTGTTTATTTTGAGTTCTATTTTTTTTAAACGCCCAATATACATCGAACTCATTTAACAATTTGTTGTTCATTGTTTAGATTGATAATAATTTTAATTCACAAATTTAGTTATTAATTAGTTAGAAATATAAACACTAATAGATAAAGGCTATAATTTGGTATAAGTAAAGTGTTTGTATATATGTGTATCTATTTATGTTCACTTGTATATACATCTAACAGTTTTGTCTATATGCTTTAAAATACCATAGTGATAATAAAAAGAAAAAAAAATTTGAAAAATACACCGGGAAATATATAAAAATAACACGCACATTTACACACACAAAAAAAAGTAATTTTAGTACCCTATCACCCTATTGAAGTGCTTTCGAGTATTCTGTAATTTTCAATCTTTTGAGTCAGATATATATATATATATATATATTAATCAGTTGATGAGATAATCTGTCATTCACTTTGGGATATTTTTATAAATTGTACTTGATTGTAATTGACAAGTCAATAGGAAATGTGAAATATGAATGATGATTTATTATGATTGTTTATACATTTCGAGCAAATTATAATCTTTTATCAAATTGTAAGTTGATTATCATGTTGTTAATTTGTTTATTTCATTGTTGTTAACTGGCGTATAGAAGTAGATAAGAATTATTATTATCATCAATATTGTCATTTTATTCAGTCAACAGTATTCTTGATTATTTCAACGAAGATCTTTTATTTATTAAAATAAAATTGTTTTATACACTTTTAATAGTTGAGATTATGAGTTAATTGAAGTTAGACTACCATGGAAAACCTGGAAGCTCTAGATAGCCGATTCGTTCTGTTGTAAGACTCCTCAGCAGTGCGCACCCAGGATCCCGCCGCCTCGCGAGATTTTATATACGTTTAGATTAGAATGTTATTTTTTTTTTCAAGTTACAACACAAATACTACTGATGAATAATTCTTTATAAGGAAATTTATATGTGATCTAATAGTGTCATATTTACGTCTAATTAATTTACCAATACCAAAAAATAATGATGATAGAAATTCCATAAGGATTACAATCACAATTTGTGAAGTACACTAAAACATTATTTTCAATAATCTGTAAAACTAATGTTTAAAGTACATAGCAAATTTATCAGTTGACCTAGACCAAATAAAGACAAGATTGAAGAAGAAACAAAAAGCAATTCAGTGAAGAAAATTTGCTTCTCTACAATCTTACTTACATTTAAACTGTACAGTCATAGTTGAATAAGTGAATTCATGAAAAAGAAAATTTTCTTTGCTGAATTGCCTTCTTTCTTTCTTCCTTTCTTCAATGACATAATAGGTCTCCTTCGCTATTTCAGATGGGATTATTAATTTTAGTGTAATAAACTAGTCAGTTAATGTTAATGTGTAGATTATAATTGGTAAAATTAGATGTATTTCTTCTCATTAATCATATGTAAACAGCTGTTTGTGGAACATTGTGAACGGATACCATCCAATGTTTTAGTTTTACTAAACGTCTAATGTTTTTCAAATGATTAATTTGCTACTGTTCACAGTTAAACTTCAACACTGAACCTGTTACAAGCTTACTAAAAATAATATAAGTAACTATGTTAATTTATCAGAAATTAGCTTTACAATTATCAAAAAATGATAAAGTATAACTTATGTAATTTTTATCCGTACAAGATGATCCTAATTTAGTACTAGATTCAACAAAGATTATAAAGTATGAAATTTACAGTGACGTCATTGAATTTTAAGCAATTTATAAACTACATTCAACTGAAGGAAAATGTTACAACCATCAGTTGTGAAAAAATAATAATCAACTAGCAGATGGTAACGATTCCCTGGTAAACTATCCTTGGATTACTGTCGATAAATCCTTATCAGTAATTCTAGTAAGATTTCAATTAAACAGGATAAAAAACAGTCTCAGAAGGGGTTTTGTGGATATTATAGTAATTTTAATAGTTGAGATCATGAGTCAATTAAAGCTAGACCACCATGGAAAGCCTGATAGCATTGGACGGCCGTTTCGTCCTATTGTGGGACTCCTCAGCAGTGCGCACCACGATCCCACCTCGCGAGATTCGAACCCAGGACCTAACAGCTAAGGAATCCCACAGTAGGACGAAATGGCCGTCCAGTGCTTCCAGGTTTTTCATGGTGGTCTAGCTTCAATTGACTCATAATTTCAACTATTAAAAAAGTCCGTTTATTCTGAAATGGAATTCTTAAATAAAGTTCCAACATCACTGATTTTTTTATCAACATAGTAGCCTCGTCATGTCAGTCCTTAAAAGACATTTTATTATGTAGTTATGTTGATCAATTCACTAAAATGGAAAGTTATTCAAATATATAATCAAGTTTATAAAGCAAAAAAAGCGATACATAAAATGGTTATAAATTTTCCTCTAGCTTTGGATAAACGGTTTTTTAGACGTAAGTCACCAATTATACATAAGATGTCAAAAAGATATTTTATTTGTAGAAATCCTAATGATTCAAAACGATTAATTCCAATGTTTCATCAGTACATTAGCTTCAGTGTCTTCATGGAAATAGGAGAAATAATTGTAGATACATTAAAATAAACTTGTGACCGCATAGTCACTAAATGTTCATATATATATATAGATCACACACCACAGCATAAAGGCACTCCATATTAAATGACTTTTATCTACCCTATGGAGTAGTTCATCATCTCTACATGATTAGTAAAGATTTAACTTTATTTATCATTTGCTATTTAGATCCTAACTATTTTCTTAAACAATCTTGAAGCAGGTCACTGAACAAAATGTTGTGACTGTTTAATTTCAGTCGCTGAGATTCTTACAAATATTTTATCTTACTTACATGGAAAACTGATAAATAACGAAGAAACAGTTAAATGAATAAGAACGAACCTGCTTCAAGTAGCTTAGTATATCTATGAAAAAAAAGTAATGAATAAATAGATGTACAGATATGAATAGTTTGGGGATATTTTTAAGTAAATGTATCATAAATGTCATTGTACTTATTAAGTTTTCTTCAAAAGTTTAACTCCATTTAATATTGCTCAATATATATTTAGTTCTTGAAGATCGAGTACAATGAGCCTCCAGTTAAGTACAGTGTTTTCAATCATATTGTTTTCACTCAAAATCCAAAAGATGAATGGGATCCAGGACTTTCGAATTTAGCATTGAAAATGGTAAAAACAAGTGGCTTGCAATCCAATATCTCAGATGTTTTAACTCTGGTTTGCCAACATGATGATGTCGTTGCATTCATTATGCCAACTCTTCGTCCACAAACAAATGCCAGTACAAATTCCTGATAGTTGAATTTATGAGTCGATCTAAGCTAAGCCACCGTAGAAGAAGTGGAAGCACTGAACGACTGTTTTATCCTAGTACGGGACTCGTGAGGAGTGTGCATCCACAATCCCTCACGTGATGATTGAACCCAGTCTCGCCCGCGACCACTGAGCCGGCATCCAACGGTGTTAATGTCTAACCTCAACCAATCCACGAAATTGCGTTACCATCTTCCATAGTACTTAGGTAGATACGTGTCTGTACTCAATACGGATTATCTCCACTGGTCACGGCGTCTCACCAGAACCACGAGAATTCCCTCACGAAACTAGTCATTAGTGAGCACATGGTAATGATTAGTATATGGGTTGTGGAGATTAATTGACATCATGAACCGATTTATGTTAGACCGCCATTGAAAACCTGGAAGCACTGGACGGCCATTTCGTTCTATTCTGGGACTCCTCAGCAGTGCGCATGCACGATAACGTTAGCGGGATTCAAACCCACGGCCGAACGCTTAACCTACTGGACCACTGATCCGACATCCGATGGTGTTAATGTCTAATCTCAACCAATCCAGTAGGTATTTACTAAACTTACGATTGATACTGAGACTCATTAACATAAGAGTATTTGTTATGAGAACAGAAAGTTTTAGATTTAATTTGAGGTGAAGTTTTACGTATTCATCGCTAAGAACTTTTAAACTTTATGAAACAGATAATCATTTCTTTGTTGTTCGAAATCACAGTATGTTAATGATAAATTATGTATTTAACTATGTAATGAGTTAATAAATTGAGGCTAATTCATTTGATTCATTCCGTTCTTTTTTTTTCTTTTCCCTATAAAGATATTTTACAAGATAGTTTACTCTATACTGTTTTGTCAATTCAGTATGTTAAAATATTAAGATTGATCAATTATGCTGTTCTTAATCACTCTTAATAAATTTCGTTGGAAACATGTATACTGGATGATTTTCGTTCTTGAAAATATATTGCTTATTATTCAACAAAGTATGAGTCAAAATTGTAATCAAAGAATATATGGACTATTCAATGGAAGTATTATTAGTAATACTACTAATATGACAGGTACAAATGTTGCACAATTATGTTGGTTGTCTAATGAAAATTTCACTTACCTACAATCATTGAATGACTGTTTGGGTATGTAATTTTCCCTTTTTTTTTCGAAAATTTTTTTTTATTTTAAAATGGAAATATTGTTCCATATATTTTTACGTTTAAGAAAATATGCAGCTTAGATATATGCTATTGAGGTCTGAAAACTAGATAGTTTCATTGTTGATCTTTCATTATTGTTCTTCATGTAGTAAATAAGCAATAAAGATATTGCCTTGAATGCTAAAGAAGGTTATGCAATTATATCACTTAGCTTAGAGAATTCAACAGGATGTAAAACGTTTTTTTATAAACGTTAAAATTCATTGTATTCAAAATATAATAAAGTTGATTAATATGAATCTCGCGGGGGTCAGGATCGTGAATGCGCCAAAATAAGGCATGTATTAATGTATTTGACAATGTTATGTGTGTTCTAGTCATCTAGATAAACTCCAGAAAACAAAACTTATGTATCCAGAAAAGGTATATTAAGCCTCTAATTTTACCTTGGCTCACGATTAGATCGCCGGATACCTCAACGGAACATTATAAACTTCTTACCCCCTTTTTTTTTATTACCTCTATCTCAATCTTCACATCCATAATTTCCAATTCGTTTATCGTACTTACATTGTTAACATCCCGCTTACTACATGTTATATTCACACAACAATATTATTATTATTATTATCTCAAATGACAAAAATAAAATTCTCCTACAATGAATTTTATTTACACAATTTTTTTTGTATTTTCATTTTCGCTATAATACTATTACACTTATTGTGACTGGGCACTTTATTATAAATCATTCTGACCTTTATTGAATGACCTTTCTAATTTGCAAATAACACATTTCTGAAGTATATACGTCGTAACAGATGCAAACGTGTACCATTTTTAACACATAACATTGTCAAATTCATTAATACATGCTTTATTTTAGGCCATTGTAAAATATCATAATTATGGACTTATAACTGTAGAGCCTGATGATAAATTTATTGAAAGCGATTGTTCACTCAAATATTCTTCATTTATTTATCTATTTATTTGAGGAGGTTTGAAATATTCACATCGTCTGTAATTTAAATAGTGAAGAATTAATAATATGTAACTTGTAACCGGCGAAAAAACACCGGTGATAGAAAGAAGATTGGTATATAGAAATGGAGGGGAATTTTTAAAATTCAATGGTTTATAATAATCTAAAATTCACTTATCATATTTAACGTGTAAACTATGAAAAAATATCTTTATCAACTATGATGTATGATATAAATAAACTAGATTTTCTGACGTTTCATGACTCAGTGTAGGCTACTTCTTCATAGAATAAATAACCAAATCAAAATTAATTGAAGTTTAAATAGCACAAAGGAACAACGCGAGAATATTATGTGCGATCAATCAAAATACAGGTCTGAACAAGTCAATCTCATGTCATTTCGGTCAAGATGAGTTATAAACGACATGTATGCAAACGTGTGTGTGTGCAAGGTTAGGGATGAAAAATGTGAACTCTGTGGTGAGAAAGGATAGAGTTTAATTCCTATGCAAGATAATAGCGTGAAGTGTGAATAATGTCAAACATTATAGCTGGGATAGATAGTCCAAGTAGGACGTATGGTGAGGCCTTCTTTTCTATCGAGAGCAGTAGGGTTAGGCATTATATAGAAAGCTTCAGCTGCTCTCCTTTCTTTGTAGTTGGAAAAAACCTTTTTGTAATATTTTGATCTTTTTGAAATCGATTTGGTGGTTGTTGAAAATGGCGTATGATAGTTTACAAAGTGTAACGAGACAGTGAATTATATGTTTTATGTGTATTACGAAATTTTGGGCGAGATTTTAGTGAGTCTAAATGAAAAAGCACCTTTCCTAAATAAGTAACCCATAATAGAATGGTTTATGTATTGTCATATGTCGCTGTTTAGCTACGAATTATGGTTTTTTTCTAACGGTCGTTCAGAGTTGTATATCAATAGTATCTTCTGATAGACTGACATTTAGAAGTATATTAACAAGTTAAAAATGGTTATATTGAATGATATTTTATTAAGTAAGATGGAAAAAAGAATATGAGGAAAGAAATGTGTATTATACAAACGTCTTTTGATAATTTTCTGTTGACATAATATATCAATATCTGATCCAGCTCGAGGAACAAAACTCCATCAATATCATCCACCTGCGCTATATCAATATTCAGTAGGAATATATACATTTATTTTAATGGGCTATTTTTGTTCACATTCAAAGGTTTGATTTTTGTTGAGTGGTATAAAATGGTCTTACGATCATAACATACATGTCATTATAAAATAAATATAAGTGTATCCTGGAAGTATCAACCGTTTTAGATAAATGATCAGGTTTCCTAAAAAACTATCCATGAACACATTCTACCTGAAGTTCTCAAAAACGCTAGGCTAGACGGTTTATAAATGCTATTCTTTTAAATGGTAGATTCCATCATAGACTTTGGTTAGACAACTATTGGGAATCAGATAATGTGAGATAGCTTTATTGTCTTAGTATCCATTTCCTCTACAGTTAGTGCAAAAGATCGTGTTAAGGATTTTACTCGACCTTATCTTATTAAAATGAGTGAGCTGCCTATAGATCACCGTATCATCAATTGTTAATCTAGTATCCACTGGTTTTAAATGGTTATCTCACTGATGTTATTCGAAAATGTAAGTAATCTTTAGATTACAAAATAAGAAAGTCAACATGTGTCAGTATGAGGTTGTGGAGATTGGTGAATTTCATTAAACCATGAAACATTTACACGTGGAAGCAAGGGTCCTGGTATCGATTCCCGTTTGAAATTTAGAATATACGGAATATTATATTTTGACTTAGTCTCATCCAAGTTGCGATCAATGTTCAGTGTTAAGGATACGCAAACCACTTTTCATTGGCCGTATATTTAGATTTTATTTGAAATGAAAATAATAGATAATTTGATGTTCATTCATCCAAGACAAAGAGATTTGCGTAAGCCCCTGAAAATAATCACTTCCTCCCCATGATGGGTCATGTGTACTCACTACTATGTTCAGCTGAAAACTCACTCCTATACTGATGGTTAAGTTAGTGAGAGTAGTTGCACACAATATCTTTAGATACAAAAGTTAGGTTTGCAAACATGAATCCCGATAGCTTCAGCAATATGCAACAGACAAACTCGCAAACCATATGGTAAATTTATTGGAATGTGATAAATAACCTTAAAAGCTTTATTCAAATCGAATTGATGACCTGTGTTGACAAAGTAAACAAGAATATAACTCTTAATCACTCTTACTTATCCTTTGCTCAATCAAGATGGATGGTGTTCTACTGTGTGATGACAAACTTACCGAATTATACACCCTATTTGTCTGGCTCCACAAGAGCCGTCTAAATGCTAAATCCATATTAAATTAATCTACGAATACTAATTTTAGAAAAAAAAACTTAAAAATTTGTCAAAATGTTTCTCATCTGTCTAGAAAAAAAAGTCGTGTTTCACAGTTTAAAATGAGACATGATGAGAAAAACTTTTTTCAAATTTTGTATTTTTCATTGTTAAATGGAATAGTTACTGAAAATTCAGTCTGGTCATATGAAAAGTTTAACAGATAATGAGAATAGGGGAATAAGTGTGTGTGTGTGTGTGGGGGGGGTAATATCTAATTTGTTAATTAGTGTGTAATTCAAACATGTATGAAATATACAGTAAACAGATATGCATAGATAAACAAAACAGTCTACTAAGCACATTGTTATCAGTTCATTATAATATTTAGTTTATAGTTTGTTAGTTTTTTTATTTTTTAAGGTTCATGTTTCAGGTACTTCATATATTTCTTTTTTTTCTTTTTTTTGCTGACGAGTCAGTAAAAGTTTTTATACTCCTCATACTAACTAAAACTATTCTGTACAAAAATATAACTAACAGACAGAAACAAAAGAGGTGGTGGTGATGGTGATGATGATGGGGGTCTGTATAATAATTTAAGTAATGAACAATTCACTAACTACAAATACACTAATTTTATAGTGAATAAAAATTATATTAAATAAAGTTTATTAAATAATAACACTATTTGCAGTAATCAGTTGGTTGTTAGACAGTTTTCATTGTTTCTGTAATTCTTGATAAAATCAGGCTTATTCAAACAGTACAGAAATGCAAACAAAGTTTATGGGATAAAAATAATTCACTCTCTATTATAATAACTAATTTGTAGGTAAATGGCGGTTCGTAGTCTAAAAGACACATTTCAGTTATTCGATGAAACGGATCATTTAAATAATGTCAGATAAATTTGTGGTATCTTTTGATGTTTACTCATTATTTACAAATATATTGTCAGGGGGAAATTACAAATTATAATTTTCTAACATCTTCCTTTGTTCAAAAATGAGTTGAGGAAATCATCATTACTTTGCAAAAAAGTGGTTTATTTCCAGCTTAGCAATTAATTATACAAACAAACCGATGGAGTGACCATGGTATCATGACTAGGATCTATATTGGCTAATAACTTGATGGCTAACCCAGAATAGACAAAACTGAAGCACAACATACTACTCCAGATACGTTGATGTGTTCATTATTTCTGGTGATATAGACTGTGTTTCACGTTTGTCTAACCACTTCAACAACTTTCCTCCAAACATAATCTTTACAATAAAATGTGAAGAAGATAACTAATCAATTATTTAGATCTTAATGTAAGGCGTAGAAACGATAGAACTATTGCAAAAAGTAAATGTATGAAAGAAACACTTATGAGAGAGAATTCAAACTATAACGACCGTTCCCCTACTAGTTTCAAAGATATTTAGTCAAAACAGTCCTCAATAGACATAGGATGTTATGCTCAAACGATGAGATAAACGAAGAAGCAAAAAGCCTAATGAAAAATAATTACCATGGAAAATTTATCAAGAAATGTGAAAAAGAACATCTTGAACATGATGAAGAACGGACTGTTTATACGAATATTTGTCAATATTTGAACGAATAGCTTGACAAAAAAATGGGTGCTGAGTATGGAGAAGGCCTTATTTATGGAGATTATATTCGAACTAATCTCAGCTGTGTACAATAAGCCTATCCTCATCCGTCTTCTTTTCAAAGGGGATTGGATTTCAGGTAAAATAGATAGAAGAATCAAGACACCACTGAGAAGAAGCTTCTCTGCTGTCCAAACCATACAGCACTGTGTTCATAATATCATTCAGAGGTAGGTCAATACACTTCCAACACTACTTTCAATCGCATCTGCAAAGTTACATGTACCTTCAGTAGTATAAATATAGTAGAGATACAGAGAAGGATTTATATTATGTTTTCTGAACAAGTTCTTAGGAAGTAGTAACTGAAATGGAGTAAAGTTTTGTAAGTGCAGTTGCCAAACATCTTTTCGACAGTGGACATAAAGTAGACGTAAGTAGTAAATTCAAGTTATTAACAGTCAAGTACTTTTATTCCATTTTTTCAGTGGCAATCTCTATCAAACGTTTCTGACCTGACTTTTATATACAGAAGGAAAGTGTGATTAGCCTGTCTCTGCCACGGTGAAAGATTGTTAGTCAAATAAACCTTCTTGAACCCTCCTTTTTTCATCTAATATTTTAAGTATTAATTGTTTGAGGATATATGAACAATGAATAAATATGATGATACAATAGAAAGATTATAATATTAGACAATATAGTGAAAACGATAGCAATAAGTGATTGTGCGTGAGCAAATAAAAAGGCGTGTAAAACTAACAAACTTATAACAGATTACAATGTGAATAAAGTGTGATAATTAAAACGCTTTTCTCACAATGATCAAAAGTATTAGAGGGGTTAAATGAGATGAAGTGACATTCATGAATAAAATTCTGGAGATATGCGCAATAACTAGAGAGGAAGAGATACTTTAGAATGTGAAATCAATGGAAAAATATTTATTTCAGCACACAGACATTGGTACAAGAAGGCACCGAATATTTATAAGCGCTATGCAAATCATTCGATTTGTAAGGGCTGGAATACTGCCTGAACAAAGTGGTTGATTGTCTTAGGTGGCCACACCCGGAGCCTTTGACTTAGAGTTCTAATCCACAAGGTAGTACAACAACGTTAGGAGATGCAGCCCCATGGAATACAGTGACCAACAATAGGCTCATACACCATTTATTCCTTCAGGAACTTGGAGGCCATGTTCACTATTGGTTTGGAATCAGTTTTTTCCAACTCATCTAGGTTGATCTTCTACAACCGCCAATCTTGTTAAAGCACCAGACATTCCCTCTTCGTCCTCTAAACTTCATAAACAAACTCCCGCTGCGAGAAGGCAGTGAGTATGACTTTCCTGTCAGTGGCTGTATACGCGTGGCTACATGAGAGCATTTCGACCGTACCAGGGTATTATTATTATTATAAAAATAATAATTTAAAGGTACGGTGAAGGCAACGTTAAGAAATACTTTCTTATACACATAGTTTAGGTTTCATTTCAAAGATGACAATAGCTTCTACTGTTGTAAAGAGTTAACTAGGATGAAATCTTGGTAGATTTGGACGAATTCTTTGAACAGCCTTAAAATTAGTCATAGATAAGTTGAGTGATCGGAATAGATTAATTATTCAAGAATATAACTCTTAACCGCTTACATCTCAATTTTCTGAACCACACTAGATATGTCTTCGTATTTAGGTTGCAACCAATGTTTGCATTCAACTTCGATACAAGAGTCTAATATTGATCCTTTACATGATCTAATTGAGGTTCATACAATTATTTCGTTTTGTTCTTTGTCATACTGAATGGTTATGCAATCAAATGTTCATTATATTGCCTTTACATAAACCTTTTTATCTGGATTATTATTAGTAGTAACTACAACACTTATCCCTTTTTGAATTACCACTTTCCAACATTTAAATAAACATCAATCCTAATTATGTTTATTTACACATTTTGTTTTCTATTCTTCTAATTATTAAAATTTAAGTTACGTTTTGAACATTTATTTCACAAACTAAGATATATTAGGGCGAGACTATAATTTATGGACGAACCAATCAGATTTAAGATAACAGGTCCTGAATTTTGAAGCGAAATCCACTCATCCATTTGGTCAAATAGAGTTTTGGCATTATAGCTGATGTCAGTTCGTGATGAAAACACTATATCTGATTTCTAACCCTTACTACCAACTGTAAATATTAATTCCAATTCCTCACGCTGGTTTATAACCCCCATTTAGCCATAGTATGTAGGTAGACATTCTCAAGGTCTTTTTAGGGTCGCTCAAAGGTTGTCCATAAATTATAGTCTCACCTAAATTGGTTGATAGCATGGAGTTGTGGAAATTGTTTAATTGCATCAAAATCACAAAGTGGTCTAAATTAGAAAACTTGAAATCACTGAAATATCGTTTCGTCCTGATATAGGACTATTGAATGATGCGCATCCATAATCCCAATAACTGAGGACTTTAAGTAATTATCATTTTAAGTTGTATGTAACTATTGAGAAGTCATGAAATTGAATGAATTCATTTAATTCTACAAACCTGTTTATTTTTATTCTTTAAAAATTAACTAATAGATCTGATTGTATAAAATAGATAAATGATTTTTACTATCCACATTGTACTATTAAATTAGATTTGAATTATTTCGATAGAATAATTATAATTTATAAGTACTTTTAGAGTAAATAATAATCTGATTATTATTGATTTTTAATAGTTGAATTCACGAGTCGATTAAAGATAAACAACCATGGAAAATCTGAAAGCATAGTTTGACAGCCGTTTTGTCTTAGTATTTAACTCCTCAATAGTGCGCATCCACGATCCTGCCTCTCAAGATTCGAATCCAAAACCTAACAGTCTCACGCATAAGCGCCTAACCACTAGACCCGTGAGCCGGCATCCAACGGTGTCAGTGTTTAACTTCTTTTAATTTCCATCAACAAAATTTTAAGTACTTAATTGCTAATTAAATAAAGGAAAATATTAAAATCCGTGAGTAATTCATTGAATATTTTCACTTGTTTACTATTTCGTCAAATTATTCATCAGTTAAACTTTATGGTTAGTGATTTAGTGTGGAACATCAACAACTTGTATTTCGTAGAATTGAAGTATATGAGATTGGTAAAAGTGAATATTAAAACTCATTATGAATACTCGTGTAAGATTCCTGCTTCTTTGAGGAAAACATTGACTATTGCTTAATCCATTAATTTCAAAGTGTTTTATTTTGAATAAGTTATTTTTATTGGACGGTTTGCCTGCAGAATTATTCTTTCCCTTCTAGTTATTAAAACCTGCTTCAAATAATGTCAGTTAACTAAGTATGACAGTGATATTTAAAGAAATGAATCTTAAAATATTGTTTAGATGATATGTCAATCTATTAGGCTTGAAATTTTAGGAATCTTGAAATTTTGATGCTCTGTTTATTCCACTTAGATTTTCAATGCAGTCTATTAACTCAAATTATGAATTAACAAGTCTTTTCGTTATTCTATAAACTAAATGGTACCATGGTCATATTAAAAATAATTATCCATTCACCAAATAAAACTGAAAAAAGCTATCAATTTCATTTTATTGGTTTTGACTGATATTTCATCAGTGTTGGTTAGAGTTGGGGTGTTCGAAGCAAATGGTGCTGGGTTCAAGCTTCGGAGTGAATGTAAACTACAGGATGTAGGTACATTCATCTCACAAGTCACAGGTGGGATGAATCACAAGATCTGAATTCTACCGCTAGCCTCATTCTTTTAAAATTCATTAGAGTTGTGATGAGTAGACAGGAAACCTATCTGCGACATCAATATCAGTAAGTTTGCAATTAAATACAGCATAAAATATACTCATAGAATAATACTTCTGAAGTCATATCACTTGTACATATGTTTTATCAATAAAACTTAAATTAAAAATGAACGCATCTAGATTGATCACAATCTCATTTTACTGTTTCGATTGTTAAGTATGTTTGTGTTCTTTTTTACTTTATAAGTATGAAGACAATGGTGGATGTGTCGCTCAATTTTGTGGATTAGTTGAAGTTAGACATTAACACCGTTGGATGCCGGCTATCTCAGTGGTCTAGTGGTTAAACGCTCGCATGCGAACTGATAGGTCGTGAGTTCGAATCCCGGGATCGTAGATGCGCACTACTGGAGTCCCACAATAGGATGAAACGGTCGTCCACTGCTTCCAGGTTTTCCGTGGTGATCTAGCTTCAATTGACTCATGGTCTCAATCACTGAATTTACTATAGTATCCAAAAACCCTTCTGAAATGAAAAATATCTCATTGATCGTTATATGAGTTTAGTTGAATACGTAAATTATATTTGTGCAAATAGACATTCTGAAATAATCTTTTAACAATATAAAAATATTCTATATATTCCTATGTACTTTTAATTATTGTAGACTTTAGTGTAGTATGGATAACTGAGCCACCAAATGAATGGCATATTGATGAAATAATTAGAATTAGATTCTTTGTAACTGCTTCTCCATCATTTTACGGACAAGCTATACAGTTCAATATATTTTCACGTAATCCATTATTAAGGTAAGGGTATAATTTTTAAATTATTTATTGATTAATTTATTGCAAATAAAGGTTACTTTTTGGTATATGTTTTGATTAAGACTTGACGACGAAACTCTGGAAGATGTAGAATCCTTCACATGCCTGGGAAGTATCATCGATGAACAAGGAGGTTCAGATGCAGACGTAAAGGCGAGGATTGGTAAAGCAACGACAGCATTCCTACAATTGAAGAACATATGAAACTCAAAACAACTTTCAACCAATATCAAAGTCACAATCTTCAATACCAACTTCAAGGCAGTTCTATTGTATGGAGCTGAAACTTGGAGAACTACTACAACCATCATCAAGACGGTGGGAATGGATAGGACATACATTACGCAAATCATCAAACTACATCACGAGGCAAGCCCGAACTTGGAATCCTGAAGGGAAGCGGAAAAGAGGAAGGTGAAAGAAAACATTACGTCGGGAAATCGAAGCAGTTATGAAAAGGATGAATAATGACTAGAAGGAGCTGGAAAGGATTGCCCAGGACAGGGTTGGATGGAGAATGCTGGTGATTGGCCTATGCTCCTTCACGAGGAGTAACAGGCGTATGTAAGTAAGTTGTAGGAATAGTGAGACATTGATAGCCTACTCAAATGGGACATCTAACAATATAATCTCAATACAGTATTATTAATTTAGATGGCTTCTAATCTCTTAAATCTATTAGTTCGCTTAGCTAATTAAAACGAATTGGAAGGGAAATAAAGAATATATAGCTTGTCTAGTTCAAAAATCTTTATTGATATAAACCATTAAAGACTACTGAAGTTCAAACTAAAGCTTAAAGAAAAAGACTAAGCGATGCAACAGTATTATGTTCATCATAAACTTTCATTGATAAGATTTATCTACAAGTATATTCATCTATAGTCAACTAATGAATTGATTGGTAAACAAGTTTCAGATTTAAATATTTTGTTGGGAATAAATGAAAAACCACTTATTTCTTACAAACCTACTTACTTACTTACATACGCTTGTTACTCCTCGTGAAGGAGCATAGGCCTTTGGTTGCCCATCATTTTGATTTTGTCCTCGTTTAGATAGGAAGATGTTCGTTGAAGGGCTCACCATTTTAGTGGCCCTTTTGATCTGACTCCAAGATCGTATGGATGTTTGCTATCGCCCATTCTCGTATATTATCGTCGACTTGAATCGCGTTAGTCAATAACGGAATTAAATAAGTCGAATAACGAGAATTGACTTGACAATACATATATTTTGAATATGAAGCGAATAAAAGAGTAGAGCAAAATGACACGCATGGAAGATGCCTGGGAAGCCAACTCTCTTTTAGTCAAGCGTTGTTCAATATTTATAGTCAGACAAAATAAGCTACAGACATGCAATGAGTCATGGGATACGGTGTGCACACACATATACGATCATATAAAAGCAGTGAAGACTAATAAGCAAATAGTTGACAAGGTCAACATATGACTCAGGTAGAATGAATAGATTGGTTTGTCCAAAAACTAGAATAAGATATATTATGGGCTAAAACTAATGACTAACACTACAAGCCACTCACCAGCATTCTCCATCCAACCCTGTCCTGGGCAATCCTTTCCAGCTCCTTCTAGTCATTATTCATCCTTTTCATAACTGCTTCGATTTCCCGACGTAATGTTTTCTTTCACCTTCCTCTTTTCCGCTTCCCTTCAGGATTCCAAGTTCGGGCTTGCCTCGTGATGTAGTTTGATGATTTGCGTAATGTATGTCCTATCCATTCCCACCGTCTTGATGATGGTTGTAGTAGTTCTCCAAGTTTCAGCTCCATACAATAGAACTGCCTTGAAGTTGGTATTGAAGATTGTGACTTTGATATTGGTTGAAAGTTGTTTTGAGTTTCATATGTTCTTCAATTGTAGGAATGCTGTCGTTGCTTTACCAATCCTCGCCTTTACGTCTGCATCTGAACCTCCTTGTTCATCGATGATACTTCCCAGGCATGTGAAGGATTCTACATCTTCTAGTGTTTCGCCATCAAGAGTCATTGGATTGCTGTTCTCGGTGTTGTATTTGAGGACCTTGGTTTTCCCCGTGTGTATGTTACGGTCTACTGATGCAGAGACTGCTGCTACACTGTCTGTCTTTATCTGCATTTGTTCGTGTGTATGCGATAGGATGGCTAGGTCATCTGAGAAGTCCAGATCGTCTAATTGGTTCTGAGCTGTCCATTGTATGCCATGTTTTACCTCAGATGTCGAGGTCTTCATAAGCCAGTCGACCACCAGAAGAAAGAGGAAGGGAGAGAGTAAACAGCCTTGTCTGACTCCGGTACTTACTTGGAATGCGTTTGTCAGCTGTCCTCTATGCATTACCTTGCACTGTGGTCCGTCATATGAGTTCCGGATAATGTTGACAATCTTCTCAGGAACTCCGTAGTGTCGGAGAAATTTCCATAACGTTCTCCTATCTACACTGTCAAATGCCTTTTCATAATTAATGAAGTTGGTGTACAGTGTTGAGTCCCACTCATTTGGTTGTTCAACGATGATCCATAGTGTCGCAATTTGGACTGTGTTCGACCGATCCTTATGGAATCCAGCTTGTTGATTTCGAATTTGGGTGTCTACTGCGTCTTTCTTCCTGTGCAGAAACACTGTTAAAGACTTTCCCTGGTACTGACAGTAGTGTAATGCTTCTGTAGTTTTCACATTTGCTCAGGTCTCCTTTCTTTGGAATCTTGATGAGGTATCCTTCTTTCCAGTCCATCAGCACTTGTTCCTCCTCCCAAATCTTTCTGAATAGAAGGTGAATTGTGCTTGTAGTTACTTCGATGTCTGGTCCTGCTGCTTTCCCTCTCTTGGTTTGTCTGATGGCCATTCTGATTTCTTCCGTCGTTGGTGGATTGACATCTATAGGAAGATCTGTGTGTGCTGCTTCGATGTCCGGTGTATTCAAGTACTCTACCCATCTGTCCCACTGTTGTTGAATTTCAGTGATTGGCCTGCCTTCTTTGTCTTTGGCCGGTCTCTCTGGTTTACTATATTTCCCTGAAAGTTTCTTCGTTGTATCGTAAAGCTGTTTCATATTTCCTTCTCTTGCAGCTTTTTCTGTTGTCATTGTTAGTTCTTCCACGTATTTCTGCTTGTCGGCTCTAATGCTCTTCTTCACTTGCTTGTTTGCTTCTACATACTCAGCTTGTGCTTGGACTTTCTCTGCTCGTGTTTGGCTGTTGTTAATTGCTGTCTTCTTGTTTTTCTTTTCTTTGATCCTATCCAGTGTTTCTATAGAGATGCATTCCTTGTAATGATGCTTGTTGAGACCCAGAACTTCCTGACACGTTCAAGTTAATGCTTCTTTGATCCCTTTCCAGATGTCCTCCATAGCAGTTTCTTCTTCCTTCAGTAGATCTTGTGAGGCTTGAAACCTGTTGTAGAGAGCTATCTTTAATTCATTGAGTTTATCAGTATCTCGAAGGAAGGCTGTATTGTACCTTTGTGATGTTGTTTGTCCAGTTGTCCAGTGCTTCTTTAGCTTCAGCTTTATCTTGGTAACTACAATCAGGTAGTGGTCTGAAGCTATCTCAGCTCCTCTCTTGTTTCTCACGTCTTCTGTTGTCCTTCAGAATTTTTTTATTGATGCAGATATGATCTATCTGGTTCTGTGTATTGTGGTCCGGTGAGATCCATGTAGCTTTGTGTATACGTTTGTGTGGAAATATTGTGCCTCCTATGACCAATTCGTTGAATGCACATAGATTTGCAAATCTTTCCCCATTTTCATTTCTCTGTGCCAGTCCATGTCGTCACATGATATATACATATCCGGTGTTGTTTATTCCGGCTTTGGCGTTTGTATCTCCCGTCAGAATGGTGAGGTCTTTTCTTGGACACTTCTCTATGGTTGATTGCAGCCGCCCGTAGAATTAATCTTTAACATCGTCGTCGCTATCATTGGTGGGTGCATAACATTGGATAATATTCATTGAAATCCCCTCCTTCTTTGTTTTGAATGATGCTTTGATGATTCTGGATCCGTGAGATTCCCATCCTACAAGTGCATTTCGTGCTACTTTGGACATCATTAGAGCAACTCTCTGAGTGTGTGGAGCACTTTCCTCTTCGTGATAGGAGTATAGCAGCATCTCTCCTGTATTTAGCCTTTGTTGTCCAGCTTGGGTCGAACGGGTTTCGTTGATTCCCAGTACTGCCAAGTTGTATTTCCTCATTTCCGTTGCTATTTGACTGGTCTTCCCGGTCTCCTGCATTGTTCGGACGTTCCATGTACCTATAAAAGTTGTTGCTCTGGTTATTAGAAGGAGCATCAGCCTCGGCTTTCACCATGAGGCGTCATAGTTCCTCTAAATGAAGACCTTCTAACTTCCAGGGCAGAATTTAAATGGTTTGAATACTTTTTTCTGGTTAGCGTTTTTTTAGAGAGTTAGTTTTCTACGGGATGGGGTAGCTAACCCCATGCCCAACCCTCCTCTTTTACCCGGGCTTGAGACCGGCAGTAACTCTAGAAGAGCTATAGGCGGAGGTCATTTCTTACACAGACAACCAATAAATTTAGTAAAACATTGATCATTGTGGTTTAATAAGTTTTATTGCATCAAGACCATTAGAATGTATTCAAATGTATGTTTAAAAACCAATTTTGATAGGGATTTACGTTTGTTTTTTATTTGTTAAACACCAACCAATAATTTAAATGGGAAAAATCATAGTTGAATCCCTTTTACTTTTTTTCGATTGTATAGTTCAATTGGCGATGTATCATCGTTTTGTTCTGCAACATCTTGCAAAATATTTCAAGTTGAAAGTACATGTTGTATATGGCATATGAGTCTGTTTATGAATAGATTAACTTCTCCCAGTGAACAATTTCCTTTGGATGTTTGTGATTTCAATAATTTTAATAATAAAAGTATACCAGTTTATTATGGTTCATCACTGAATTCTGAATGGAATCTTTTAGTTCCCAGTAAGTATCTTCATTATGTTCATATTATTACATGAACAAGTAAATATACAGATAACTTGAGATGATCGATTGTAAAATGTCTGTTGCTTGACAATATCGAGAATGAAATATTTCAAAGAGTAGAATAATTTAATTGGTGCTAGTAATATGGAATGAACCCTTGTTAGCAAAATTTACAGTCAATGAGTTCCAATTTATTAGGATATCACTATAATTACATAAAGATTATGCCCAAATGGCTGATTTAGAATAGCCGAAACTACAAAACTACACAATGTTTACAACGTTTAAATCTTTTGTTTACCAGTGACTAATTTCGAGAGGTAATTTTCGTATTTCTGGCTAAACTCTATGACTATTGAGGTTCATCAGTGTTGAAAAAGTAACAAATATCACGAATGATAAAGAGTAATATTCACGAAATATCATGAAAAGATTAAAGCTAGATAATATAAACTATTGGATGGCAACTAAACGATCAAAATGTCAAGCCTTCTTCACAAGGTCTATTGATCCTGTATTCTATCTAGAATGAGGTCTTAGATATACTTGATTTTCGATGGTTATTCAATTAAATTAATTTAAGAAATGAAAAGGATGTAGCATACAACCTTAACAATCGCCATCTTAATTAATTTATTCACTCGTAAAAACCGATTTATCAGACATCTTCCATTGTTTGGTTTCCCTTATCACTTTTATCTCTTTTTGTTCGTTTTTTTGATCTTTTTGCCCTGTTTAATCCACTATATATCATCTTATTGTTGTTTTATTTAATCTAAATATTTTCCACGGTTATTTATGAAATTCATTCGTTTGATGATCATCGTATTACCATGCGTTTGTTCCTATTCTCTTTTTACTCAATTAAAATATCAAAATAGAATCATTTAATAATTTTTTTTGCGATTCTTGTTACTTAATAAACAACCGTTGGTTCAGTACTATTTGTCAATGATCAGTAGCAATCTAACTGAAATAAATGTTCACTGTAGTAAAACAAGTGATATAGAGCTGTCATTACTACAATACCACATTTTACACTTATGAAATAAAATAATTAAGAATGAATTGGGAATAATTAAGCTTTTTTACAACTTGACTAAACAAGAAAAATGCTTACAATTAAGTTGCAATAAAATTACAACTAGCTGGGAAACTAGTAAATAACTTTCCCAACAAGTTACAATCTGTTATATCCCGACGAGAATCATGAATAGTAACTTTTGAGAACTGTTAAACAGCTAAACTATGCATATTCATGTACCTCTTATTATAAGCTTGACCCATAGACAATTATACGATATACCGTTCTTGAGTTATGCCCAGTCTATCAGTTATAGTCTCCCACATTCACAGTCACATTGGGCTAAATATTGTACAAATGTTATTTTCTATTTTATGGTACGATGTGGTCTGTTTGGTTGGTATAGAAACCCAGTATGTTTGAAATACATGATTCATATCGTGCAGGTTGAGATTGGTGTTCTGGATTTAACGGGCAGGGTTAGGCAGGATAAAGCACCGATAAAGACTCTAAACTGCTCGTACGGGTTTATGCGTCATTGATTTGGTCGATAAGTTACTGTTCTCTAATTGGTGGTATCATTACGTTTATATATTAACAGGGCTACAAGGCCACAAGTTATAACACAATCAATTTGACGTAGTATACGTCGATTACGAGATAATCAGTCAGCTTCATGAAAGGATTATTAATAATAGTAATAGTAATTAGCAATTCATTCATTATTATGTATTAACCACAAATTAATAATTTAAACGAAGATAATCACTATTAGATTTCTTTATTGAAATAGATACTCAGGTCAATCAAGAAATAACCAACCAAATTACTTTAGTAGTTTCCTCGTAATCTTTATTTACATTGCAATATATCTATAGTTTAATGTATATAGTTAAAAAAGGTTTCTGCAACATTGATTAATGTCAAGGTAACTTCAACTGCAGATGCACTCCAGTTAGTTCTCTTCTGGCAGGCTTTTTACTTGATGTATATATGTTTTGTATATGTATTATACAAGCAAAACCCTTAGTTTTATGTTAGTGAATTCTGAGGAAACCGTTACTTATTCTGTTAAATGACGAACAAGGACAAATCTATGAGTAAAGTTCGGAAAAATTTTAAGTAAACAATATAAGCAAATATACAATGCAGAAGAATTCGCGAATTGAAATTGTAAATGTCGGTTAACATAAAACAACTAAATCCTTTTTATATAAAGTTGAACGTGAAATTTTCCTTGACGTTAACAATCAGTCCAAATGACTAGGTCAGTATAGAATAAATGTATGGATCAAGATAAATAAACACTTCATAAGAATGAACAATTATACAGCATTCATGCAATTTCTTACCTTATTTCATACACCGAAAACTTGATTACAAATAAATCCCTTAGTACAAAAATTCAAGGCAATTCGATGAAGAAAATTCTTTTTCTGACGCTATTATATACGTAAGCTGTACAATCGTGTTCATAGTTAATTAACAAATCAAATAATCTTTAAGAAACTGGTGTAAAGTTACATCCTGTTGTGTGTCAAAGAAAGTCAGAGAAGGGTTTTTGTGGATATTATAGTAATGGATTGGTTGAAGTTAGACATTAACACCGTTGGATGCCGACTCAGTGGTCCAGTGGTTAAGCGCTCGCGCGCGAGACTGTCAGGTTCTGGGTTCGAACCTCGCGTGGCGGGATCGTGGATACGCACTATTAAACAGTCCCATAATAGGAGGAGACAGCCGTCCAGTGCTTCCAAGTTTTCCATGGTAGTCTAGCTTAGATCGACTCATGAATTCAACTATCAAAGAAAGTCGTGTATCAATCGAGAATTTGAAGAAAGATAATAAGATCAAATCAAATGTGTGAAAGATAACTGTCCACTTGACGAGTATGAGAAGGGTGATTAAAACATTGGAAACATTAAGATGATAATAACGAATACTTAAAGTTAAAAATATATGAAATATCAGAAGGATGAATCAACAATGAAATTATCTTTTATGAAAATTAAGCGTTAGGACCATGGGACAATGAAGGCTTGCACTTGTCGCTTTGTACACAAAGTTTAATTCCTAAAAAAACGATGGATTACTAACGCCGCTACAGTGCATACATTATTAATTTGCGCTCCTCATGATCTAAATCATCTGGACATTCAATTTTCAGAATGACTGAATCGTAATTTCTACTGATTTTCAAAGAAATGGAAATAAGGGAATCACATAAAATGACCCTGAATAAATATCTACGACTTGATAATCATTTTTACGTGAGGACGACAAAACTGAAATCATGATTAGCCCTAAGAAATACAAGCATTTTTTTTTGCTAAATACTGGTTATTGACCCATAACATTTTTGTTATAATCGTCCATGTACAATCTAAGTTCATTGTTTTAAGTCTGAACAAAATCGGATCAATCCAAGTTGTAGTGTTCCAACAATAGTACATCTCACTAGGTATTTGCTTATTAATATAACAAAAGACACATTGAAGAACATTGGCACATTTAATAATAATATTAATTTTCTAGATTAGTAAGGCTTTATAGGTACAATGATAAAATATTCTTATTTTATTTCTGAGTAGTTTTACCAAACTTTCAAGTAGATTTCCTCAAAGCTTTAGGGCTGTATCACATGTGCACATTTGTGAATATTAAAAGATCAAATCGTATCATTCTTCTAAACCATTCACATTATTTTCACGCGATTGCATTATTATACATTTTCTAAGATAAAACAATGTCATTTCTCTACCTAATCATCATATTTGTGTTAATAAGTTGCAATCCTTGTTTTTACATTCGTATTTATTCTATTCTAGATGTTACACAACCAGGAATTTATTTATTACTTGTTCGAATACTGGTTGGAAGATTTCAAAGTATTTTGGTAAAAAGAGTAACAATTACAGGTCCAGGTATTTTGTGAAATTTAGAAATTATGCCGATAATACATGTATATATTTATATGCTTTATTCAAATGGATAATCTTATAATAAGCTGAATACTATAACTGTCTATATATTAATGTGTAACAAATTTCGACCGAAAGTTATTGGTCATGTTTATTTTAGACAGTTTGCTTTTAGGCGGATGACTACGACGTACTTCTGTTCATCTACTGACATTTTATTCATCGGAATTATGAAATATTTCAATACACAATTATATTTATCCGTATGAAGTTATAACCGGTTCATTGTTTGGAGTTAAAGAGTGGGAACAGATTGGTTGATTACTTTACTGTAATATTAGATTTTTTGAAGTTACCATTGTAGATCACAGGAATCCTACTTGGTGATGTAATATTGAAACGACTTTTATTTATGTAGAGTTTTTGTTATTAAATCATAATAGTTGGAGAGCCATTGAAGAACAAACAACATTGATCTAAACTGCTAACAAACATTGTATTCATAATGAACTTTCTTAAACCACCTAAATATGAAACTGTATGAAAAGTGTACTATACATAATAGATGAGGGTTATTTATCATTATAAGCCAGTTTTTTTTGTATTTTCTGTCCAACTTAGTTGATATGTATCAGATGAATTGGTAGTTTAACAAACGCTTCCATTGTTTATTTGCAGACAGTTACCGTACATTACAAGAAAATCAATCGCTAGAAGTAGTGGAAATAGTTTTAATCGTATTGGCTTGTTTATTACTGCTGGTTATTGGATTTATCTTATTGTACTATGTAAGTCATTATAATTACATATGCTTATGTCACTTAATCATTTCTTTTATACCTTATCGTAACTCAGTATACCAATGTTCATTTAGAATGATTTCGTATGTATACTGTCAGTGAAAATGACCTCATCTAATTAGGAAGAAAATACCCAGAAAGTTTGATTCTGAAAATAATCAGTTGATTGATTTATGAATTCTGCTTGAATGATACAAGACCAAATATACAATGTATTCTTATTGTTATTATTATTACTGTATTCTTACTGTTTCATTTCATTGTTTTTATGTGTTGTTTAGTAGTACAAATTATGAGGCTGGTTGCTGTCCACAAATACTCACTGTTTGAAAGTAACACAATGAGTGACTGAATAGTTCTTGTATTAATCCAGCAGATATATCAAACCTTGGTTATTGAGGATGTAGTTCTGAAATGATTAGACTTGGGACCTATAAATTTCGCAGCTAGTGAGATACATTAGAGTGAATAGTTCACAGTTTCATCCGAAGTCATACTGTGATATAAAATGGTTTTCATAAAAGATTAATTATGATTATCGATTTCGCTAACAGTTTTATTGACTCCACTTATCTGAACTTTCTACTATAACATCAATTCTTAAGCTTATCATCAGACCTGACATCTATGATTGCGATTCTATGTGAGGTATAATGCTCTCTGAAGTTGGATGATTTTTCCAGCTGACGTCTATTGGTGATGAAATGCACTTTGAATTTGATTAAATCCTCACAAAATAAGCTTTGGATTCTGATTACATAATCCATGAATCAGTAGTTTCATTGCATTTCATTATTTGTATTTTCATAACTGCTCTATTTATCACGAAACAGTTTATAAGAAAACATAAAACAAACAAGGAAATCGAAGAAACTTGGGTACTCAATCCAGAGAAAATTTGTGATAGTAAGTAAATATCATAATAATGAGTTAATTTGCAATAAAACGGATAATTTTGGATGCTGAAATTGAAGATGAGCTTAAAAAAGTACTTTTCAGGAAACAGTGTTATTTAAGAAACTATTTTTGACAAAATTTCATTCAGATTTCGATAACAAAATCTTTGTTAAATCAAGTCTCTACAGTATTTAAGAAAGGCTTATCACGAGGAATTCTGAAATTCAAATAAAAAATATTTTGAACTCATTAGACTGAATTCTCATATATATATATAATAGTACATAAAGGATGGAGAAATTTTGTTCAGTAAAGGAACAATTATTATAAGCTGAGATGATGGTGGCTAGTAGCGGAATGCAGGACGCACGTTTTGTCCTATTTGGGACTCGTCAGTTAGATGCACCTGCATTCCAAGATTGATATTCAATTAAGGCAATGACGGGGCAATCTGCACAGGATACACATATGCCAATAAGTGACTGATCAGTCGCTGTCCTAAATACCAACTAGGAAGATTCAAGCAACTAATACAAAATGAATTAAACTTCACCTTATTACACTAGCTGTCTTGACTCAATAGCTAAGTGGATAACGAAACGGCGTTTGAAAAAAACGGTAGTGAGTTCGAGTCTCGGAGTGAGCATCAACTCAGAGATCCAGGTGCATCCAGCCAACCTGTCCCAAATAGGATGAGACGTAAATTCCTCTACTCGCCACCGTCATCTCAGCTTATAATTTCTGTTCCTAAGCCTTGTATGTTCATTATTCTTTAGCCTTCTGATATTCATCTCTTACATTATGTGATTGATGTTCATATATTTGTTTACTTTATCATGTTGAGCGATTACCCAATCACTTAATAAATTTCATTACCTTCTTGGTGGAGTTTTGTTCTCTGAGCTGGATGGTTTGGTCGTGGAGCTTTCATCGTTCTTCTGAACGACATCATCAGCACAAACTTCAGATAGAAGTGAAGTGTTTGAATTTCTCCATATGTGTCTCAAAGCTTGTTCTGTGCACCTCGACGTTGATTGGTTCTTATTGACCTTAAATTTGTCGTTGTTTACTTCTTTGTTTTGGTTGTGTCTCCCATTGGTTTGATTTTTGTTCTTATGTTTGTGCATGCATCCTCTGAATTACTGCTTTCCAACTTATAAATATATATAAATCATAGCTTTGTATACCTATTTTTCTCATTCTTATGATTTCGATTACGTTTCGAATATTTATCTAAACTACACAAACTAAAGTGTGTTAAACATTTATTATTAATTATATCTATATTAGTGATTATAATTTTAAGTTGTATACAAGTGATGAGAAACCATGAAACAGACTAAGGAATTATTTTTACTGTGCAAACCTTGTTGTTTAAACTCTGTCTAAAGGGAGACTTTATTTTAATGAAAGATGAGAAACGTTAAGGTATACATGAGTTATTAACTATTGTTTAGACGATCCGACCATGTTAAAAATCAATTTCAAACATTTTAAAGCACATTATGGTGGGATTTTAGAATGATTTATATTAGTTTGATTTGAGCAACATAACGAAAAGTTATTCTCACACTAGTATGTGTCTGTTTATTGCCGCTCTTTTATGATGTATACCCAACATTTAGTTCAGGAAAAAGTTTTCAAGCAAAATGTGGTCATCATTGACCTTTATTGGTTTATATACAAGTCCATTACAGGTTTTCTGTATATTTCTTAGTCTGTCCAACCACTCGCTTATTTATATAAGTTAATATATACAATCCAACATAGAATAATGCTTGTTTGATATTGATTCGTTCAATCAGATCGAGATCTGTAATAACTTTTATTAATTACAATTATTTTAGTTGATCCAGAGGACAGGTGGATTAAAATGTTTCTATCCCGTTCAACAAACTGTTCGCTTAAGATGATGTAAGTTACTTTCAACAAATTTCATGAAGTTTAGCGAGGTCAATATTTTTATAATTATTGCATGAAACCTATACATTAATTAAGAATTAATGTAGTATGGTAGAAATAACTTCTTTTAAAATTTCAAAGGCATTACTTACTTACGCCTATTACTCCCAATGGACCATAGGCAACCTACCAGCCCTCTCCAACCCACTCTGTTCTGGGCCTTTCTTTCTAGTCCTATCCAATTGTAGTTCATTCTTCTCATGTCTGTCTCCATATCTCGGCGTGATGTGTGCTTTGATCTTTCTCTTTTATGGCCTTAAAGATTCCGTTTGAGGGCTTGTCTTGTGGCGCAGTTGGGTGCTTTCCTCAATGTGTGTCCTATCCACTTCCAGCGCTTCTTCCTCCGCTGGAATCTGGTTATAAAATAATCAGTTTTGACAACTTCAATTAAATCTATTTTTTGAAGACATTACGACCTTGGTCGCTGACATACAACTTAGAAATTAGTTATCCCAATTTACTAATCATAGAATGAATCTCTTCAAGATAAAAGTTCATGAATGAATTATGCATCTGAAGTACGTTCTAGTGATCTTTGTACCCTAAGAGGACACAATAATTTATTATTATACCTTATGATTTAATTCGTCAATTTCAGTCAGTTACAAAGATTATATTATGGCATAATATTAAATAATAACTAATAACAAGAACACAGCTATCAAGATAATTTTATAAGGTAACTGTCCTCAAGAAGAGCGACTTGTACTTATCATAAAGCCATCGAAAAATTAAACAGTATCAACTATCATGATGTTATTTATCCAACATCCGAGAGAAATTGTTGTCTGTTGAATAGAATAATAAGTTGATAAACATTAAGGTGTTCAATCTGAACATTCACAGTATGATTAGATGGTCCTAGTTTGATTCGCAACCTGATCATATTACACAAATATTTTACAGAGTTTTGCAGAAGTTCAGAAATTATTTCGTTGTGTTAGTGAATCATGATCAATTAACAATCCTTCTCTTAGGTGAAATAATAACTGGTTACAGATTCTTGGTTAAAAATTAGATTATTGCTCTTAGTTTGTTTACTTCATTTAAACTAATAGTTATTACTGTTGAATGAATTTTGTATACAAGTTATTGATCTTAAATTCATTCGGAATTCGTGGATATTACTGCACGTTTTGGTATGACTAGACGCGCAAGAAGATTAATCTTCTCTGGAGGTTTTAACAGTCTGAAAATGTTTCAGTAATAAATCACTGTCTGCTGACCTTGATTATCCTTAGTTTGATGGAAGTAAATGTTGTGTACAGACAAGAAAGTAGCGTTTATCTAGTAGTCGATAATTAAAGAGTTTTGTTTTATCAATGTTGAATGGGTAATAAAAAACACTCAAATTTGTACTTTTTAAAATTTTTAGTGACTGCGTTCCAGTAGCAATGAAACAAGTCTACGTAGAATTTACTGAGTTAACAAGCGATATGCAAAGACAACTATGGGAAGTTAAGTAAGTTATAATAACAGAAAAACACGATTATTCTTTATAATTATGCTGGATTTAAAATTATCGATCACACGGTCCATGTTTATTGGTCTAGTGTCAAAACCTGAAGGCTTTCAGTTTGATCTTATGTAAAGTCATGGATAAACGCATTTAGTAAGCTTCAGACTGCAATAGATAACTGTTTAATGCACTTTGGTTATGGGGTTGATGTCACTTCACCATGGATATCATCTTCAAAATAATTAAAAAAGCCACTATTAGATGTTGTTTCACGTAATCATATATAACAATAACGTAATCATAACAACAAGAAAACTCGACCTACTAATAATGAAATCGAAATTCGATCTATCGTAAATGACATATAAGAAGCAGATTATAATTTCGACTTATCTCATTCGATGTCAAGTGGCTGATTTTACTTCATACGATATCCAAAAGTGGTGACATTAAGATTTTTTTCTTCCCTTTTTCATAAGCCTAAGTACGTGTAGAAGGTTTTCGGGTTGAGATTAACTTTCATTAAAAATCAACTAGGGATCACTAGTAAACCAGAAATCCTTTAGTAGCTGTTTCGTCCTAGCCTGTGCATTTTTATTAGTTTACATACTACTTCAATGAGTTCTTGCCGAGTTACTCAAAGTGAACTATTTCCAGACTCTTGAATAACCTTATTTATCAATGTTAGCTGATTTGACTCATGATCTTTTCTTGGTGAACGCTGTAAAACAAAAAAAACTAGATATTTATATTCCAAACAAGTAATATACCAAATAGTGTAGTACAATGATTTGCATATTGTTGGAACTACATTGTTGAATTGATGCACTGAAGAGGAATGAACCGTAGAGTACTCTATACTCGATTCTCTGATAAACTAAACAAACTCTGTCTTCTTGATGTCTTTTATTGAGGCAAACAGTTAAAGATTTTTACTAATGTTACGAAGTTGAATTTTTCCTCATGTATTTTACAGGAAAATGAAACATAATAATTTAGTGAAGCTCGTTGGGGTCACATTTATATCACCTGTCTTATCATTGTATACAGAGTTTTGTGATAGAGGAAGTTTGTGTTACGTACTTCGACGTGATTCTATCCCGCTAAGTTGGAGTTTAAGGTAAGTGTACAGTACACAGGATATATTTTTGAATATTCTCACAAGATCAGAATAATATACAACTTAATTACTATGGAGCATCTCTAGTTTATTATTACATAACATTTATTAATAACTGATACGAGCCAATATTAATTAGAGTAGTGCAACATTATTAACTATGACTGTCTGACATATTCTGAATATAAAGATATTTACCACAAAAGTCAAATTTTTAAAAAATCTTGAATGATTGCAAATTATATCTTAGATGATGAGTTTTTCAGGAGCAAAGCAAATAATTTATGCTTTCCATGAAGAAGCTCATTAATTCGGAAATTCAACATTGAATATTCGATAGAGAATTCAATTCATCATTGACTTACACTTCTAGATTAGTCACTATCTTGAATGAAGAAGCATAACGATGAACTTTCATATGAATTTTAACAATTGCATGAACTGTTTTGCATAAACAGAATCTTGGATTTTGGGTATTAAAAATCAACTAGTATCAATGTTAAGTAACATTAAGTTTCAGTTTGAGAAGGACAGGAGGCTTGATGGCCTGTGTTAGTCCTGGTAATGGTGGTCTCTCAGTTGATCCAACTTTCTTTTGAAAGAGTCGACTGATGGAGCCTTAACCACGTGCTGAAGTAATGAGTTCTACTCGTTGATGATTCAATGGGAAAGTCGGTATTCAGCTGACAAGTAATTTGTTCTGGGCTTGTGAACGTTTTTGAAGTGTCCTCGTAAATTCTCTGTTTTGGAAGACAAGAAAAATTAGGGCATATCAGGTGCAAATTTGAAAACTGTTATCAAGTCGCCTCTAGCTCTGCGATATGACAACGGGAAAAGGTTCAGCTTGGCCAGTAGGGCTTCATACGGAATCTTCGCTATTGCGGGAATCAGGGAATCTCTGAATTTTTTCCAGAAGCTCACTGTCTTTTTTCAAGCAGGGGCTAGCCGCTTGTATGCAGTACTCAAGTTTAGGACGTACGAACACTGTATACAAAGTCAAAAACGTCATAGCGTCGAAATGACTAAAAGCCCTACGTATTAACCGTAACGTTCTAAAACCTTTGGCGGCTATTGCACGGCAGTGTGCAGTAGTCTTTAGGTCTTGGCTAACGATGACTCCTAAGTCATTATATGTCTGGACGACAGGTAGCTCAGTGTTATTCATCGTGTATGTATCTGTACCTTGATGACCGATATGCATTGCAACACACTTGGAGGTATTTATCGGCAACTGCCAGGTTTGAGACCATTCAGATAATTTCTTCAGGTCATTTTGGAGTTCTTAGCTATCACCCTCACATCGTATCGTTCTCCATATCTTGACATCGTCAGCATCTAGCAAGACCGATGATGATAGGAGACGAGGAAGGTCATTTACTTACAAGAGGAATAGCAATGGCTTCAAAACTGTACCCTGGGGCACTCCACTAAGCACAGTTCCCCAGCTAGATAACCTTGAGTTCACCCGTACTCTTTGTTGACGCTCAACTAAGAAGTCTTTTATCCACATAAATAGATTGCCTCCAATCCCGACATTTCTTATCTTAAATAACAGCCGGTTGTGCGGAACTTTGTCAAAAGCTTTGCTGAAATCAATGAAGGCTACGTCTACAGGTGACTTTTGGTCCTTTGAAGTAAAAGTTATTGAAATCTAATTATAGAAATATGTATTTTGTTGAATATGAATTTGGTATAATCTTCTTTTTCTTATATATTTCTTTAAATAGAATAGGTTTTTTAACTGGTCTTGCAAATGGTTTAGCTTATTTACATCATTCTCAAATTGTACATGGTCGATTGAATTCATCAAATTGTGTGGTTAGTGATAAATGGACATGTAAAATAACTGATTATGGATTAGATAATTTAATTTGGTCAAATGATTTTGAAAAACATAAAACGTTTTTAGATAAACCAGAAAATTTACCATATATTCCACCTGAATATAGAGGTAAGCGTTAAATTTATGAAGGTTTTATAGTATTTTTAATAATATCTTTAACAATATGGTATTGCGGGGTCGTGGATACCTATTGCTGAGGAGTATCACAATAAGAGAAAACGGCCATCCAGTGATTCCAGGTTTTCCATGATGGTCTAACTTTCATTGACTCATGATCTCAACTACTGAAATTACTACAATCTCCACAAAACCCTTCTGATACTAATCAACATATACTCACCAGTGACTGTCTTCAAGAGGTATATCCTGGAGTTCTAGTGAGAAGCAGTGGCCACTGGAGTTCAACCGGGTCGGTTGCGAGATAGTAACTCATTGATGACAATGGCGAGTGTGTCGCTCAGTTTTGTGGATTGGTTGAAGTTAGACATTAACACCGTTGGATGCCGGCTATCTCAGTGGTCTACTGGTTAAGCGCTCGCACGCGAGACTGATAGGTCATGTGATCGAATCCCGCGAGGCGGGATCGTGGATGCGCACTGCTGGAGTCCCACAATAGGATGAAACGGTCGTCCACTGCTTCCAGGTTTTCCGTAGTGATCTAGCTTCAATTGACTCATGATCTCAACTACTGAAATATGATAACAGTTTGACTAAATCTACGGAAAACATTACTGCTGGGATGTGCTTTATTGGTTAATTTTTGGGGCATTTTAATTTCTTATTTCTCAGGGAAGTTAAAGTAAGGGCATGTTCAAAAAGTTCCAATTTATTATGACACTAGTTTATTTTGGAGGTCATACATAAATAAGTCTATCCTCATTGTTACTAGTTTGTAGCAAATGAACTTAGCTCATTTACATTAAAACAGTAATTCATATCTTTGAACTATAATACTCTCCTTGATAAATTGAAAGGCGGGATAAATAAATGCTATGCATTTTTATCTTTTGGGTTATGTATATAATTACATTATGTATCATTATTTTGCAACACCTTATTTATTAATCTATATGAGTAATGAATAGGTATTTTCCAACCCTTATTATTCTTTAAGTTCACAATTTTCTTCCATCTGTACCCTATTAGCCCTTTACAGTATTTAATTGCTTTTTCATACTGAATAATACTTATGATTCTATCTTATTATACACTTAGTTATGGTAAATAGTTGTGAATATGATTATACAGCTACGTTAAATGATATCGTTCAAATGGAAATAAGTATTAAAACCCGGAATTAAAGCGTATGAGAAATCTCATTTCATCCATCATAGGGTAGTTAAATAAATGTTGTTTGTCAAAAACACAGATACTATGAAATGATCAACACTTGAATTGAATAGAAACAAGGCTTAGCTATTGGTATTGAACTAAGAATTGCTTGCTGAACATGCTAATCAGCTCCATACAACTTTTTAGTTAAGTGGAATTTCGCTAATTTGATTATAAAATTTTCGATACGTATTCATTTAACCTTCAATCGTCTGCATATCGAATAAAGCTCAGTGGTCTAATACCACTATTGTTATCCACCCATCTTAGTTATGATAATTGTTTCAAGAAGTTGGTCATTTCGCACAACACACCTAGATATCATTTGAAACTTTATTCATGCCAAACCCTGATCAGTTAGCATTACACATTGTAAATCATGGTATGTTTGTATCCTAAACACTTTGTTTTCATCCAATTTTGAAAACTTAATTAGACATTGTAAGAAGTGTTGTTAATGTAACGAAGTCTTTATTTCTTTCTTTCTTTCAATGATAAGCCTATATTGATCATGACATTTAGCTTAATGTCTGGTGTTAATGATTTTAATTCCATTGTTGAAAATGCATCCAGTTAGCATCAGTTAAATAAATCTATTTCCATTTTTTTTCTTAGATTATAAAGAAACATTATTCGTGCCAGCAGTAGACATATACAGCTTTGGTACAATCATGTGGGAAACGGCAAGTCGGAGTGATCCGTCTCAAGTTAGTTTTAAAATTATTTATGTGGTACAGTCGTTGTTTATAAGATAAGTTGGGTTGCAAAACATTATGTTCAAGAGGGTGATTAAAAATATCGATTATTGTAAGTTAATCTATTTGGTTTTTCACACTTAAGTTAACATGTTTGTCCTCTAAATCAGCATTATTTTTTTATTTGCTAAATTAGGATGACGAATTTGTGGCAGATCCAATGTATAATCACCCGGAATTGCCGACTAAAAGACGTTTTGAAACTGATGTTAAATACGAGGTTGCAACAGTACCGCCTTTTGAAGAATATAACAATGTGAGTTTTAAGTCAAATAATTCCGGAAAAATTATTTCCTCAAAAGGTGTAACTTTCCATGCTTACACTACGGTTTTGCACTTTAAGGGATGTTGACACGAAAATTTGATTTCTTTCATAAAATCAAGGAAAATATCATGAACAGACGGTTTCATTGAAAGAATTTGACAATTTGAAGATTGGCGCCACAAGTTACGTTGCCTTGAATGAACATTATATATTTTACTATATCTTAATGTATGCTGAATTATTAAGTACTGTTTACTTTGCTCTCTGCCACTTATGATATGATTCTGCTTATTGCATGATTTATTCTTCTAGGTGCTGTGCGAATTTCTCTTCGAATTCAAGTCTGGAATGGAAGTAGAGTTGCGATAAGTAGATCAATAGGAGTGTAGCTCATCTCGACTTATTATTAATGGTGTTAGTCAAAACGTAACATTGGTCACGTTTTGAATGCTCGGCTATAGATGATTTACAAAACAAGAGGTGGAAAAATTATGATAGGAATTGTGGTTTACAGGTCGAGTATGTTATGATGAAAATCATCTCAAGATGTGGCAACTTACCTAATTGTTTATCTCTCCGATTACGATATAATATTTTCCCCAATATTTGTATTTCATTTGCTTTAAGGAAACATCTAATCTAGCGCAATTTAAACTATTCCATTTTTGAATACGCGTATTAGTAACTGGTTAATAGAACAAACTAGCCTGACGAAAATGTATCATTGGGAGTTTCATGACTTTCTGGGCAATATCTTGTTTTCTTGGAAACCTTAATTTCTTAAGTTTCCGTTTATTTATGAGTATTAATCATCATAGCACATACCACTGCCTGTTCTGACGAGAATGTCATATAGAATCAGTAGTTTCATAAAGTCTCGTGGTTTGAATTAACCAAACTTCTAATCTCAGGTTGTGATTACTTTTTTGACAGCAAAATATTTTATTATTGAGTGAGTGTTTTAAGTTCCACACAGGTTTGTCTCAAAGATTCATAAAATATCAGTCACTAGAACAGTTCGAGACATTTTAACAATCTATAAGTATTGTGTTTAACTAGCTCCAATTACTTTGTTGCTTAGATCTTATGCGCACATAGCGTTCAACCTTTTACAAGTTCTGTTGTGTGATTTGCAAGAAAGGACGAATAGTATTTAAAGCAAACAGAAAAACATCACTTTCCAGTATGGGCCATTGTGGTGTATATTACTTATGTTTGCAGATATAAGTAGTATGTAACACCAGTCGGAAGTGGAATGTCTGTGAACAGAAGGTTGAGGAGATTCAAATGAACAGAAGAGAGAACGAAACTAATAGCAATCAAGATAACAACAGGGACTAATAAACAATGAATTTGGTAAAAAAAACAACAATTAAAAGTAGTTGTGCAAATGATGTAATCGATGTATTATTTTCACTTTGTGATTTTGCATCCACCAGAGTTCTCCTTCACTACACTATCACTTAATTGATTTCATATAATAATCATGTGATTATTGTTTAATATGTCTTACATTAGTTGATGGAATCTTGTTGGAGTGAAAATACACTTAGACCAAACTTAAATACAATTATAGAATGGTTGACAAAGATTAATCCAAGGAATATTGGAGTTGATGAAGATACAATACTTGTAAGTAGTATCATTTGCCTGTTATAAGTGGATTATAATGTTATTGTTGATTTTATCACTTTACAAATAAACAGTATATCTTAACTTTTCAATAATTGTTATTATTAGAGAGTTCAAGCGCTTGTCACAGTCATTTTAAAAATCAACCATAAGGCAGATTGTTTAAAGAAAAGGTTTAAAATAATGCGGCACACTACTACGTTTCACGACAAGAATATTAGATTCTGTGGGGTTCAGAGTCTGAAAATTCTAAGCATTATTTTAGGTAGTATTGTAGTAAATGATCACTTAGGTGTTACAATCGATTTATTGTTTTACGCAAGATCAAACAATGTGTTAGTAAAATACGAAAATCATACATTAAACAAACCATTTGCACATCCTTTTTTGTTTTGTCCTTTAGATACTCTATTATTCCGCTAATTCTATTGCTATTTCGATTACTCTCCGATTTTTCTGCCAATTCTCTTCATTTCAATCTACCTCTGTCAAGTATTCCACTCCCTACTGATGCTACATAATATTGATATCTGTCGGTATAAGTAGCATACACCATAATATGTCATATTTTGAAATTCTGTTATTACCAAACACAGTGTTATTCACTCATATGGCAAACAAACTGATCTATAATTTTAGGGTTAACTTTTATAGTGAACTAATACCATACAAAAATCATTTAAGAAAAAGATCACCATTAGACAGTTGTTCTGTCCTTATATGAATCGCATCATCAATGTGAATCTATGGTCTTACATAGATCAAATGAAAATATGCATTTGACAATTTTGTTACTTAAGTTGTTTTAAATAAAATAAAAATTGTGCATAGATTTATCATTTGACAAATACGTCTGTTATTTCCATAACACCGGCGCCATAGAATTCAAATATTTTAAATGTTTTGATCAATTATACTTATGATAGAATTTATAAGTGAACATAATGAAATCACCAAAATTTACCATCATGCAAACTAGACTAAGATGAATGATATCAAGACATATGAAACTTTATACAACATGAATGGACATTGGACTATTATTAAGCCTACATTGTAAGAGTGAATACAATAGTACTGATGAGTACCATTTCATAAAAAAATTATGTAACTTGATAAAACAACTATTTTTATGGCTTTTATCACGGACTAAATGTCGTCAGATAATATATTATGCATAGGAAGCACTGAACAATTGTTTTGTTTTAGTATGGGGTGCCCCAGTAGTGTACATTCACGACCCCACAGAGAACCAAACCTAGAAAATTCAAGTCTTGAGGAGAGCGCTTAACCTTTAGACCAATAATCTGGCATCCAGTGGTCTATATGTTTAAGTTCAATATTTTTGCGATATCATACTACTATCTTCCATTGTCTCCGATGAATAATCGTTCCGCACCTGAAATAATTTATTTCCAGTGGTTACGGGTTTTAACTGAAACTTATTAAATTAACTTTTAAAAGTATTCGCTAGAGAGTTGGTGTAGGGGGTTTGTGGAGATTATCACGTTTTCACGGTTTGCAGTGTTTCCTAGATTTCAATCATTGTTATGTAAGCTGTGAAATATCTTCAGTATTCATAAAGCCCCCTGTACCAAAAATAATTGCTTTCCTCTTTGTGTTAAATTTTCTAACTACTCATGTTTGCTTCCTTTAATTTAAGACGAAAGAATATGCTAAATGTCTTGAATCTATTATTGAAGATAGAACACAAGCGCTTCGTAGTGAACAAAAAATGGCAGACACTTTACTTAACAGTAGGTTGAACATTTGTTTTGGGGGCTAATATATACATGTATATCCAATGGAGACTATGTCCATATGATAATTTATTATTTAATTGTACATAAACTATAAACATAAATCATGTAAATTTTTTATACCATTCAAAATTCAAACATGATAAGCTTTGTTAACTTTTGTGATCTTATTGAAATCAAGGACTGAATATTCATGAATGGGACTATCCATTATATAATTGCAATGAAGCTTCTCTGAGACTCTACTTAGATGGAAGTTAAAGACTGACCATGAAAGTTAATGATTCATAGATCAATAGAAGTTTATAATCTACAAAGTTTTAAATGAATTATTCATTTTACTTAAGTGTTCTCCATTAAAATGTTTGATCAAATTACTGTTAAAAACATTTATATTTGTAGAATTTAATAGTCCATTGCTTACTGTGCTTAATTCTACTGTCATATATCGTAATAGTAAAATAAAGTCCTAATTATCTATAAAGATGTGGTATCAATTTTCAGTACAACGTGGTTCGTGGTTCAAGGCGGCCTCCTTAAATATCTGAGCTACCTGCTCCTGCCATCTGAATATTTCAACACGTTATCTGTTTTCTTGTTTGTTTCAAAATATCGTTATGCCTATTTGTCGCATAACCTATTCAGGTGAGTTTGTGAAATGTTTACCACATTTCGTTGCACAAGTTACAAAAAAGCTCAATCAGAGACATCGCGTTGCTGGAAATATGCATCGAAAAGAATATACATTATTAAGATGTCTATTCCTGAACTGTTAACACGTAACTACTGATCACTAAATATTTATCGTCAATAACGATCAAGAACTAAGAAATGGAAACTCGCTGAAATACTTTGTGCTGAGAATTCTATAATGTACCAAGAACATAATATTTAATAAAGCCATTAGTAAAAATAATAACCTGTTTTACCATGCAGTTGTCATTGTTTGAATACTGGCACAACTTAATTGCTACTTTTGCTTACCACTAAATACTTGCAGTTTCCAATGTTTTGCATGATGTAAGGTAAATGAAAACCTAATTATTTCACTATAACATATGAAGGGGGGATTCATTTAACTTAAATGTAGTATAAAATAATGATATTGTTATTAGTCTAGAATGTTACAGAATATATTGCAACTGAGCGAAATATTATTAATTCCAAGTTTAATAAATACAATTATGGATTCTGAACGGTTACATTTACCGATTACTTTTAAGTGTAATTAGAGCACAGTTGCTGAAATTGGGTTAATTTATAGAAATAACCTTCGCTATAATGGTTCAAAGCAAACATTTAGATTTGTCGAAACCTCCATACAAATAAATTTAATCCTTCTTGTCTGTTTGATAGTATATTGTATTGACATTTAATCTACCCAGGAGTTCGATAAGCATCTTCTTATAACATTATTTAAGAATATGTGTATCATTTGATTGTATTGATCAATATATCCTTATATAAAACGTTCTTGATGTTCACAGTGTTGTACACTTCAAGTTCTTAAATTATTCTACTAACCTATCTAAAGTTTAAATTCACTTGGTATTGTTTTATTTGAATCTTCCCATTGATGATTAGGACTACAATTGATCAGTCTCTTATTGGCGTATGTCTGTACTGCGCGTATTGCCTCAATATTGCCTTAATTCACAAGCGTTATAAGCAAACGCGCATTCTGGATTCCACTGCTAGCAACTATCCATCTTAGCTTATGTATCTAAAGTTTATCTAGTTAACTTGATTGGTTACATTCCCACATTTTTAAATTCTTTTTTAATTTCTATAACAACTTTTTTCACTTTCTATCTTACTTTAGGTATGTTACCAAAACAAGTTGTAGAAATGCTAAGACATGGTGAGAATGTACCGCCTGAAGCATTTGAACAATGTACAATATACTTTAGTGATATTGTCGGTTTTACCACAATTTCATCAAGTTCTACACCATTTGAAGTAATAATTTATTTATTATTATAAGAAATAGTTATTTAAATTACCTCCGTGCGTGTAACTTCATTGGCTTTCGGTAAATTTTGAATGGTTGAACTTACATATGTAAAGTACCATCAAGGATCTTTCATTATATATGCACATTACGGGTTTGGAAAACATTGTTGTTAATGTACTAGATAGATCATATGGAATTAATTAGTGTTCTTTTCAAAAGTCAATGGTAAACAGTCATCTAACTGGTTAGAAAGATCAAATAATCTTCATCTTCGTTACTATTACCAATCTCCTAGAAAATGGTATTCCCTCTACAAAGAATGTTCATAAATAATTAACTAGAACTGAGAAAATTGCTTGACTGGAAAGTATTAATTAGCGGGAGATATAGACTTAGAGCATTCAATCAGTTTATCTTAACCATTTAATACTAAACAAACTCCAGTAATTAGTGCTAAGAATTCTTGATCAACTTATCATAACTATTCTTCTTCATTAATATTCAAGTATTATTGTGAATTACAGATTGATAGCACTTTGTAAATAGTAGTTTGGAACGATATACACTCTGATCTTTCCTGTTTTTTCTTCTATCTTTATGCATCAGCTGCATTCATCTAACCAGTGATTTATGTATCAAAACAATGATTATTTATTCTTACTTGTTTTAAATAGACACGATAGTTCTGTTTCATTTTGTTATTAAAACACAATGTTTATCTCACTGGAGTTTTATTAGATTAACTACCTGTAATTATATGAAAAAACCCAATGATTATGGCTATTGGCGATAACGAAATAGACATATTTGAGAAAATCCCATCTTTTAATTGTATAGAAATCAAAAATTTCCATCAAATTACTAATATTTTAATGGTTGAGATCATGAGTCAATTGAAGCTAGACCACCATGGAAAACCTGCAAGCAATGGACGACCGTTAAATCCTATTGTGGTACTCCTCAGCAGTGCTCATCCACGATCTCAACATTCAGTGCTTTCAGGTTTTCCTTGATGGTTTAACTTCAGTTGACTCATCTTTAGTCAATTTTTAGTGAAAATTGATTCGGAAATACGTTAGGGAAGTTGTTAAATCAACTTTTCTTCATTAATGTATAGATATATAGTTTGTTAAATAAAACTTATTTCCAGGTTGTAGAATTTCTAAACAAACTGTACACTCAATTCGATGATATCATTGATCGATACGACGTTTATAAAGTGGAAACAATTGGTGATGCATGTAAGTAATGATTTTTCGTAACAGTTTTATTGTTGACTACATATTAAGTATGTAATTGTTAGAAATCTAAAAAGCAAACAGAAATCTGTCATATTTCTTTGACACTTCCTAGAATTTTTAATATGTTGCCTTAAAATGTTCCATTCCAGGGTTACTGTGGTAGGTTTCAGTTAACTGACGTTGAGTATCTTCCCTAGTAATATCAGGACGGTTGTCTCTTGAGTAAATGTGTTTGCTTATTTTAATCGTGTTGTTTGAATATTCAGGTATTAGTTGAGTAGAGAAATAAGATGGAACAAGGGCTTATTGTTCTATGGAAGGAAGAGTTGGTCAGTCATTAGATTTCTGTGAAGATTCAATCTTGATTTACAGATTTACTTAGCATTTTAACATATAATTGATAGTTTAAGTAAAATAATTGCAATCTGAGCACAAATAAATTATGATACATAAAGGTGAACGAAATGAGACCTACGATAACTGATTTCGTCATTCTAATTTACAGAATTTCACCACTGAAGGCAAGTAGGAGAAAAAGGAATTATTATTAAGGTCAATAAAGCCTCAGATTAATCTTTTCGCTTCAATGTCATTTATTAAACAGATATGAATTATTATCGTACTGACCCATCATTAATAAATTCACTATAAATCTCTTCGGAAGATCGGACGGTTAGATTTGCTTAGATGTTCTCTATCTACTCGTTTGAAACTCATCAGAGTAACTTTTATAGACAGTAAACTGTTTGAATTTACTCTTGGATCTCTTGAATGTCGCTTTTTCAGGTTTAAAGAACGGGCACTGTTTTTTATCATTATTTTAGATATGGTTGCATCAGGTGTTCCAAGAAGAAATGGTGAACGTCACGCGATAGCAATAGCTGATATGTCACTTGATCTAGTCAGTGTTTCACACAGTTTCGTAATTCCTCACAAACCTGATGAACCGTTAAAAATTCGAGTTGGTTTACATTCAGGTAAGTAATAATATGGTAGGTGTTATACATCACAAATCTATTTTTTAGATGAAAATATAGTAAATTTTTAGGACTACTAAAGTCTTAAAAAACCGAACAAATTCTAGTTCAATCTTTTATTACTATTGGTCAGTATGATTCAGTAATATACTTCTTAGCCTGATTAATTATGATTTAATAGGTGAATATATGGATTTGTACATATGATCTCAGTTACACAAACGTTTTTATTACAAGGCCATATGAACATTGATATCATGGCAAATAGAGGTGACCTATTAATGCCAAAGTAACTTCACTAAAGATATTGAAATTCTTCAATAATTAATGAAAGTAATAGCGTTGCTTTATCAGTGTTACAAGTAGGACTGTTCACAGTTTCCACTTGTCAGGAATCATTTCACTGCTTGAAATGAAGAGAACTATAGATTTACGTCTGTTAGTTGGGATCTGAATTTAGATTTACTGAAGTTCAAGTTATTTTTGTGTTAGTTGTTTGAATCTTCCCCACTGGTATTCAGAACTGTAATCGATCCGTCTCTTATTGGAATATGTGCATTCTGTGAGGATTGCCTCGATATTGCCTGAAGCCACAAGCATTGTAGGCAGAGATGAGTGGTGGCTAGCAGTTGAATACGGGATGTGTGTTTCGTCAGCTGGATTTACCTGCATCTCACAGTTGATGTTCATCCCCGCTTATTATGCTTTCGAGTTGAGGCAATATCGAAATAATCTGAACAGAATGTACATAAGCCAATAAGTGACTGATCAATCGCAGTCCTAAACATCAATTAGAAAGATTCAAACTACCAATACAAAAATGAATTAAACTTTACTTCATTGCACACATTAGTGGCTGTCTGGAGCCAATATCTAAGTGGATAACGCAATGGCTTTTTAAACAAACGGTAGTGGGTTCGAGTTTCGGAGTGAAAACCAACTCAAGGATTCAGCCACATCCATCTGACAAATCTATCATTTTATTTATTTAGCTAGCTGCCTCAATCTTAAATGAATACAGAACAGTCATTTAACTGAACAGTAATGCAAACGCTTTGAAATCTTCGAAACGATGTGAAAATTTACTACCAAACCTTGTAGCTATACAGCCTCTGGAAAGACACTTTGTATTTTTAATGTTAGAGAGTGAACTCAGTGAATCTTCTCAATTTGTATAGAAAGCATATTGAATTTGATTAAAAACGCCAACTTTAATAGGTTTTATTACATAAACGACATGTTCCTCGTAAAATAATTTCAAATTATCTGAATAATCCTAACGATATCAGTCTTGAATTTGACTATTACACTTGGTTGGGGTTAGCATTGTAGCTTGTTTTTCAAGGGTTACTAGGAGGTTTTTAATTCAAAATTATAAATAAAGCGTAGAAAATAATTTGTTGATAAAACATAGTCAAGTTAGTAACATAAACTGCTGTCGTTTGAATTCACTTGGTATTGTTTTACTCCTATCTTCTCACTGTTCATCCTGTGTGAACTGCCTCGATATAGTCTTAAGTCAAAAGCTTTCGTATGTTTTAATTTTAAACTTTTGATCTATCGTTTGAGAAGTATGCAATTTATGAATTGTTAAATCAATAGAGGAAAATCTTAACATCAACGTTACGACAAGTGTATTCATTAAACTACTCGGAATAAAACATCTTGTTTGAAAATAAAGGTACCAGGTATCGACGGTTCAGTTAGGGTTTGTGTATTCTCGACGAAATGTGTTTACCTTGGATAAAAACTATTTTGTCCTATGAACATTACACCAGTCGATCAGTAGTTAGCAATCAATATCTTGTTATTTGATCCTTTGTTTTGAACGACATATTAAGGTTATATTTGTGAATATACCACTAAATTATGCGACTTGGTACGGTATGGTACTTTGTTTGAGGTGGAATGGTTGGATACAGACGACAAAAAATGACAAATCCAATTTCAGTTCTTTCTATGATCAGTCACCAGGACATCTTAACAACTTAATGAAGATCAGTCATGGCCAATTGGAATACGATGCTCCAGATTTTCTATCACTTTACTCTAACAACCCAACATTACACTAAGTGTCTTAAAATAATTTTTTTTCAACAAAAATTAAGTCAGCAGTACAGAAATTGTAAAATTAGTTTAGGTGCCAATCAGTAGGCTGTTGACGGATATGGTGTGATAGCTAAATGAATTCCATGGGAAGCAATAAATGGATCAACAGTTGATCCACAAGCTTATTCTTTTTAACGATGACTTTATTTTGAACCTTCAATAGAACTGTTATTTTCGATCTATTTGACTTATCAATTCCAAAATACATGAAAATTTAATCATTGTTTCCGTTTATTATTTTCAACCACACAGCTGTCTCAGAAACCTTGTATACATTGTTTTTTTGACAGTTGCTTGAATCATGATTAAGTAGTACGCATACTAATCTATAACATTTAATATTTTCCATCTTTAATAATTATAGGTCCAGTATGTGCTGGTGTTGTTGGTTTGAAAATGCCAAGATACTGTCTTTTTGGTGATACAGTCAACACAGCAAGTCGAATGGAAAGTACTGGCGAAGGTAAATTTACTATTTCAATTTATTGTATTCCAGTTAAGTGATACCTTTAAATAGGTAAATCATGAAAAAATAAGTATGAGAAACACCATAACTTGAAGGATTCTTTCCTCATAAAAAATCTTCTTAAGTGAATTACGATATAAGGAAACTGTGATTTCCAAAGTATCATAAATAAAGGAATAAATGCATCTACATATAAAATTCTTTTGAGAGGTCAGACTGGTTTTCTTAAACTGATAACTTAATCCCACAGAAAATTCAATACTCTAACAAACATGTGTAAGCAGGTCAAAGCTGAAAATCTGTTGGAAAACAAAGAGTGAATGGATCTGGACCACTGAGATCGATTCTGAATAATATCGTCCGATGTCTCCAGTCATTCGTTATTATAATATTCTGGATATTAACCAAGTATTCTTCATCTACCTAAATCCAGCTGTTATTGACCTCCTGGACTAATGTCACATTTTGATTTAGCCCCCCTAACTTCCTTTTAACGCCTAAACCAGCAAAAATCATGTGTTGGATTAAAGAGTGGCTGGACATACGCAATCTATGTCCCGATCACATCAATCAATTTCCCACCCTTACCTATTTTCTCACTTCTAACATCAGCATTGCTCACTCACTGACCTTAACATGCATGGATCAAAGTGAATTAAACAGATCTTTAGTCAAAAGTTGACAACCTAACAGTGTCTATTTCTAAAAGCCACGTTTCATGGCCATTAGTAGCATTATAATACATAAAGTAATATAAACAAAAATAAGCGTGATTACATGTTGTAAATCAGTCACTCGTAAATTAAGACTTGACTATTGGGATACTCCGACCTATATATATATATATATATATATATATATATATATATATATATATATATATCACATTACGTAAGTAAGTGGTAGAAGAAAATTCTATAAGGTACTGGATCGCAATTAGCAAGGTAGAACGAACATGATCACACATTTACTTACATTAACTGATCATTGATTTGCAGCTAATGCCAAATGATCTTTTTCTTACTGATCTAATTTTAAAGATCATGTTGTAACATGGTAAATGGTTTAAGTGACTTGATATCATGGTGCGCAACAAGATCAGACATGATATTGATTACTGTCATGTAATCCATTGCTGCTTACATGATAAAGGTAATATTTTTTACGATAACACAGTGTGATATTAGTTTATATTCTGCAGGAAGCATCAGTTGCCTCAAAATTACGAATTTACTAACATGACTTAGTGTACATAGTTTACAACTATCAAATTAATTGGTCTGATAATTAAGTAATCACTAAATGATTATTATAGTTATGATAGACTTGTAATTTGTTTTTTTTTCTTGCTGTGGAATAATGATCGCTAGACCAAATATATTGATAACGAATGTTATTGGTGTGTTATTTAGAGAAAGTATATGTCACTAGATTTTGTAAAGTTTATTCATTTGTAGAATTTGTCCGGCATGACTAGGCTTATTTCGTTTTATTTTTTAATATTGATAAGCTTACAAAATACACTGTTCAGAAACAACACACGCTATATTGGATCGACTTGGTGGTTTCACTTTTGAAAAACGTGGTACAATAACTGTGAAAGTAAGTAGAATAAAAGAAATGCTTTTAATGTTCCCCTTTTTCAGCCAGTTTCTATCAGTAACCAGATTAAGCGGTCTATCACTGTTATAGCTTTGGGGTTCAGTTAATTACCTCATACACTCTTCAGTCGATAATTCGACATATCTAAAAAGAACCAGACATAGGCCAAAATAAAGTTTTTTTGAAAGTCATTTATACAATATGAATAGTTCCTTATACGTTGCATCTCAGATATATCTCTTTGCACTTCTTGACTAATCACAATTCACTTAGGTTGAATAAATTATAAGTGATGGCTTTTTCATGACAATAAGCAAGTGGTGAAATGCCACTAGTGAACACAAGACTGGATCTGTGGATTTTGAAGTAATATTTTACTTAGAACTTCAGGTTATTTTAAAACTGAATTAGGTGATGCCAATATTTGAAACCATTATTTGTCATAGATTGGGATCAAATAAATCAATGAAAATAACTGTAGAGAAGTTTCCGTCTAGTTTGTGACCCATTAGTGGGACGCTTACTAAATTGGAAGGTGGTACGTCTGTTCACATGCTGACGACAACAACCCATCTAATAATCGAAGCTTGCATTAACGGTCAATTCAAGTTCCATCGATGATTTATTACCTCACTGTTCGCAAAATCCTCTTAAATCGGAAATGACGTTTTATCGACTTGAAAATGAGAATTTATAATCTCGAGACCCATATATAGATCAATGATACATTGTTAAACAAATTAACTTTATGTACATGGACCAGTGGATTAAGAGGTGTAGTGCCCGCTATGAGATATGTAGTTCCGTAAATCTGTCTCATATCAAAGTTCCTAATTAGAATATCAACTACCAAGGCATTCTCTATTAAACGTTATGTAGTCAGTGTTTGTTTTTGTTAACAGCCATCTTCAATTCGCTATTCACCGTGAAAAAATCTTTGTTTTTCCTGTTGAAGACAGAATTATCAATTTAGTTTTGAAAACTTCTAACCTCTCATATAAAGGAATATTTTTTTCACCGAATATCCAGCTTTGTACGATATTCATGTTTCAACTTATCTATGACATTTGAATTCATTCTCGGAATTTATCAAGTGTCATCTCAATTTTGTTTCTCGCGGTAAATATTTTACATTCAAATATTCAATGATAGTTAAAATATTTCATAACGAAATTAATGACAAATTAGCATATAAGTGTAGTATGATCAAGCCCAATATGTTTATAAAACGAGTGTCATACAGTAACGCTCTATGTTTTATAATAATAATTTAAGGCCTGGAAACTCATGAAGGTTGAATTTTTATAATTGCATCCTATCACACACATTGTAAGATTCACTTGTGCTAGTTAGCATCCCTATATCCCATCAAACCTCTAATAGTAGCCATTTGAAACCAGTGAAACGTTTCTGAATTTATATACAAACTTAATGTCTTTTCTTTATTGACAATGAAGAGCAGTGTCTATTATCATCAGTATTTGTTTTCAGGAGTTAGATCACTTATAACACAGATCACCATTACAGAAATCATATTTCGATGCGGAACCTCAAAATATATCGATAGGTAGGTATGGATACTCTCACTAATATCAAAATAAGCATTTTACATTCGAGTACGCAAGGATTTGTAGAGTGACATTCTACTAGTTGTGAGCACACATAATTTAAACCAGTATCCAAGTATTCAACATGGTATTGTTTAACGGCTGATCAAATTAGAAATCATAATTAGTTTAATCTTCAGTCTACTAGATCAACAGTATTATCTACCACAACAATCATTCATCATGTCAACTCACTTCATTCTAAAAGTGAATACGAATTAACTGATGAACAAAATCCCAAACATAACTCATTATGCCTTATGTTTGCGTTTCATTGGTAAACAGATACTTTGAAAGTTGTCAATACTTATGCGAATTGATTTGCTAATAGAAACTCCTTTTCGAAGGGCTTTTACCGGTTGCATAAAAAGAAATTCTTCATTAATAAGCACTTAATGAATGATTATATCTATCTCTAGTGAGTTCTGCAACATAGATTACTTTTAATAACATTTGTCTTGTTATAACCAGTTATATAACATGATACATTTTGTCTCTTTATTCAAGGGAAAAGGGGATATGCAGACATGGTGGATCACAGGACGTACTAGAGCTGATTTGGCGAAAGATTGCTGCCCACTGCCAATGAACTGGAAAAAAAGACTGAAAAAAAAGGAACCTTCAAACCAAACTGAGAATCCATAACAAAAATAACATTCATACCATTCATGGATTGACGAAAACTTAAGAAGATCTTGTAAAGTGTTATATATCATATCGAGTCTTCAGATTATATAAGATTATATTATTTATGGTGCTTAAAAGAGTATTCGCCACTGTTCATGCATTTTAATCTTGACATCTTTAGCAAGCATTCTCATTTTGTTTTGAATAATGAATCCTACAAAAGTAACTGACTATTAAATTGTTGTCTCGGTGTTTTGAACTACTAACAATTTAAAAGTAGCATAATAACAATTATGCCAATTGTGTTGACAATTTGAATGCTGAAGGTGTTATCTCAGTTTAAATGAATTATTCTTTTTAAAATTGCTTTGAATAAAATAGTGGTAGAAAATATTGGATTATCATTGTTATTCTTTAAATGCTACGTGTAAGAAAATTTGAGGATGATATGTTATCTGTTCACTTAACTAATCTTATTTACCATATGATTGTTATAGTGTGTTTATCCAGTTTTCTCAGATTCATCTTTGGTACAAGAATTGAGCTAATGATCTGCTATTTCTTATATGATTAGCCCACGTTTTAGTTACAATGGTTATCTTTAGTCTCAGCTAATGTCTTTTAGATCAAAACCACTTACTATAGAAAGGAATTTTCCATAATTCTGTTCTAACTACCACAAAGAAGTAGCTGAATTTTGAACTCTCTATGTTGTAATAAGAATTGTAAATGATAAAGATAGATCTAGGCCACAGACTCAGCAATAAAATTCTCTGAAACGTGGAACAGAGTGAAGGAAAAATATCGCAACTGAATTTATATTTGGAATCCATAACTTACTTTTCAAAAACACGGATTCGGTTTTTCAGCCTCCCCTAAAAATTTTCAACTTCATGAGGTTATACTCATTGACAGTCTTCTAAGGCCATACGTATGAAATATCTTGAAAATCATGTTGAATCCTTTGAGTTTCTAAATACAGAAGATAAGGTTCTGGAAACCACATAAGTGCTATAGAAATGCTGACTTGCATCAGTGTTTTTAAAAGATTATAGCTTTTTTTGGTTATTTATTCTCTGAAGAAGTGGTTTACACTGAGTCACGAAACGTCAGAAAATTTAATTTTTTCTTGATGTTTTCTGAGTTTTCTTCATGGTATACACTGAATCAAAGCCTCAACATAAACCAACCTCTGTGATGGTTGGTAGGAAACTGATTTTTATTGGCTGCATAATGTTATGATAAGACATAATTCACAGCAGCACAGTGTATAACCTCCTAATGTATGACATTAATGACTTTTTTGTTTACCAGACTCCTAAAGACTGAGTAGCGTATGAAACCCTCAAGCACTGAGAACTTTGAGACTATACTCGATCACTTAGTTAATCATAAGCGAATAATCTTTAAAAACTGGTTCATACTGAAAATTATTATTGACAAGTCCTCATTGTTTTTAGAAATTGTCTTAAACAATATTATTTAGCAGGTTTGATTTCATTTTGCCTCATTATAATAAAAGTATAATTGGTGCGATATGTTCTATTTTAGAGATAGTGAAATGCATATGTATATAAAGAATCAGATGTTAAGAGATTTAATATGATTTGAATCGTGTATCTCTCAAGAATTTCCATAGTAGCCACAATGTCACCTGAAGATATTTGATTTGACTGTTTGTTAATAATTGTATAATCATCAATTGGTTTACTAATTTAAAAAGCTTTTCTTCAAACTGACTCACAATCATATGATGGTTTGTTGTTTTCTTCATCAATTGATGCATTTGATCTATGTCAATCTGGTTATTTAATAAACAATATTCAGACTTTGATTGGCTGACTGTTATGATACTTTTATTTCATATTTTCGTTGAATTTAACTATTGTTAAATACATCTAAGTATAAAAAATATCTACGTTTATGGATGAAATACCACATAGATTGTTGATGATACAACTGTAAGTACTTGAAAATCATTAAACCTTAATGTTGATAAGTGACTTATTCAGTAATTATGGACATTTCTAAGTTAGTCAGTGATATGCCTTTGAATTTTTCAGTTGTGTCTTATTCTTTCATTCATTTCTTTCTTTCATTGAGTAAAATAATGTTTGGAATTCAAAATCAGTAATGTATTTAATATGTGCCATTTCATTCTGAAAACAATTCCAGCTATTGATGACATGGAAAAAGGGTGTATTATCTGACAGCTTTGGTTAATTTGAAGAAAATAAACTTTGACCGTCAAACGATACATTCATTGCATAGTTGTAAATCTGGATGCCTTTAATAGTCACTCACTTCAACTTTATTATTTCTGATTGAGATCACGTATCAACGAATGTTAGATCATAGTTGATAACCTGGAAGCACTGGACAGTCGTTTCGTCATAGTATGGGGCCGCTCAGCAGTGCGCATCCACGATCCCGCACGCAGGACTTGAACCCAGGACCTCCGGTCTTGCGTGCAGAAACTTATTTATGTCCATACAATTTACTAAGACAGACTGCAGTCCTGAGTGCTTAGAATCGAAACAAAGGGACAAAAACAGTATTCTGTTTTGTAAGTTTGATCAACCATAGTTTTAATGGAGTCGGTTTACTATTAGAAAAGGTTACTGTTGATGAGAGGCCGTTCATATGAATTTATATCACACAAAATTGCTAATCATTATACCAACCGGTCAAAAGTAATACATTTAGTTAGGACAGTAGTAATAGTTGGTGGTGGCGAGATCATATAGATTTCGAAGTTAAAGTAAAACAGTAGTATGTGTTATTAACAGATGTTAGTCATCGTATATAGATATAGTAACCAGTGAATCCCAGATCAATCGGTTAAATTGAGACATTCGGAGAGAGTTATGGTAATTTTGAGTCCATCTATGGCCCAGTTGAGAGGACGGTATAGATTTTAAAATTTCTGAATTCCAATAACCAATTGTAAACTCTAATTCTTTTAGTGATTTCCTAAGTGATATCAGTCTGTGATGTTAACCATTTTGAGACTAAACCAACCCCCACAGACTGTTCGTCTAGGTGATGAATGCCATGTTAATTCAACTTTAAAAGAAAATATTCTTCCGTTTTTTTCCATTTCAGGGTATTATTATTATATCCTAACTAACTACAGTTTAAAAAATCTAAATTACTTTATAATGATATATTACATTGCCGCCTTAAAAGCGAAAGTCATAATTAATAAAAATGATATGCTTGTTCACTAATAACAATTCATAATATTATGATAATTTATTAAATATTCGATTTCATCACTCTTCATGTTTGTCATTAACTTGTGTAGACATGCATGTATGTATATATTTGTATGATAATTATGGCCAACAAGTTGGTTGTAAGCTCTTTGAATCCGTATGGGGTTGTGGAGTTTGTTATGCTTTTGGTTGAAATCATGAATCGATTGATGTTAGACGACCATTGAAAAAGCGGAAGCACTGGATAGGACTCTCCAGCAGTGAGCACATACGATTCGAACCCAGGATGATCTCTATCAAAAACTTAACCATCTTCACAACCGCATACTATGTACTCACTAGTGACTAGTTTCGTGAGAGAATTCTCGGAGTTTTAGTGAGAAACCGTAACCAATGAAGCTAATCCAGGTGAGGTAGAGATAGGTGTCTACTTCAGTGTTATGTTTGAAGCGATTACGAGTTCACCCAGTCTGCGAACCGAACAAAGACTCTGTGGCCAAAGACCAATAAGCCAGCTATTGTGATGCGTCCCAGCACTGCTAACCAGAGACAGAAGTTCAAGTTCGAAACATATTCCGCAAGCATCCAGAAGCACGAGCAACCAAGAAAAGTCGAGTCGGAGACACACTCATTTATATATTGGTTTGTACACCCATTTTTTGATTTATAATCAGAATAAATCAAATATCTGAAAAATACTTCATACAATAATATCATATGTTATACAGAATAAAATGTCATAGGGGAAAACAGTAACGAATACTATACTGAGTGATCATCAAATTGAATTAAATGTAATTCATGTTGAATAAAAGTCATAAGGAGTAAATAAATCTAATTCTGACTTTTCATCCCGACAATTGAAGATGCCGCCTCAGTGGTCTTGAGGTTCGCGCGCGAGAGTTACGCTCATTCCAGTACTCCCAGTTTATATATATATATATATATATATATATATATATATATATATATATATATATATGTCTATGCATTAGACTGGGTGTATCCATCAAGAAAAAATGATATACAATAATGTATGTATGTATATTATCCGTTTAGTGTATAGGTACACTTTGTATTATCAACAAATTAAACTGATAAAAATCGATTAATATTCAACCAATCTCATTCATTATAATAATAATAATAATAATCATAAATGTTCATTTGTTCATTAACTCCATCTAATTAAACAATCGAAATTTATTTATTTCATTATTATTAAAAATACCTATTTATCCGTTTCAATAAAAAACTTTCTTTCTAATTTGATATGTGAAATTAGTATCATACAGCACATTCTTCAGTGATTATAGCAAACAGCCAACAACATCAACAACAACAACAACAACAACGTCAACAACATCAACATGTTAGCACATTCTGGACTTGCTGATACTTTAATAGAACAATCTAAATTATTTCATCAATTATATGATGATAATTTAATGAAAATGACAGCAAAATTAGATGATTTTCAAAGAATTCGTACATTAGGACGTGGTGGTTTTGGTCATGTTCTATTAGTACGTCATATTTATACTGATAAATATTTTGCATTAAAAATATTATCTAAAATACAAATAATTAAAACTCATCAAATTCATAATGCAATTAATGAGAAACGTATATTAGCTGCATGTAATTTTACATTTATTATACCATTATATTATAGTTTTAAAGATAATAGTAATTTATATCTGGTTATGGAATATGCAATAGGTGGTGATTTATTTACATTATTACGTCATATGAAACAATTCTCTAATGAAATGGTTAAATTCTATGGTGCTCAAGTGATATTGGCATTTGAATATTTACATTATTTAACAATAGTTTATCGTGATTTAAAACCAGAAAATCTTTTAATTCATTCTAATGGTTTTATTAAATTAACTGATTTAGGTTTTGCTAAATTATTACCTAAACATAAACGTACATGGACATTATGTGGTACACCAGATTATATGGCACCAGAGATTATATTAAATAAAGGTTATCATCATTCAATTGATTGGTGGGCATTTGGTATATTATTATATGAAATGACTACTGGTTATCCACCATTTATGCATTATGATCAAATGAAAACATTTGAATTAATTATTATTGGTAATATTAAATTTACAAATTATTTTAATCCATTATTAAAAGATTTAATCAGGAATTTAATACAAATTGATTTAAGTCGACGTTATGGTAATTTAAAAAATGGTATCCATGATATTAAAAATCATGATTATTTTAAAGATTTAAATTGGTTACAATTATATCAATTGAATATTGAACCTCCTTATAAACCATTATATAATAATAATAATAATAATAATAATAATAATTTACAAGATCTAAATCATTTTGATCATTCTAATGAATTCAATTTCAATATTGCTGAAAAAGAACAATTTGAAAATAGTTTTGATGATTTTTGAAATCGTTTTCCTTTTGTTTTCATGGTTTCATTCAATTCCGATTTGTTATGGTTTAATTTATTGATTAATTCAATGTTAATTATGTAATAAAAAGAGGAAGAGAAAAAGAAAGAAAGAAAGAAAGGAAGGAAGAAAGCATAGTGTACAATATCACAGGTAAATATGATGTTATGACATATTGAAGAGTAAACTTACAACATTGAAAATTGAACATAGTTAACTAGAAAATGAATTATTCCTTTTTTCTTATCAAAATTAACATCCTATGTAATTCATAAATCATATACATACATCGTTTACTTAGTTTATTACTTAAGTAGTTTGCATATTTTCACAATACTTTTCTTATTTGACATTTTTATTTTAAGTGAATACAGAATGATCTTTTTTCTCATAAGCATTCTCAGAGATTAATTGAGTTTTTAATGTTTATATTACAGTTTGATGTAACGGTTGAGCACTCATTTCGATGCCTGAAGATGCTGAGTTTCATCCCACGTGGGATTATGGATAAGTGCTGTTAAGGTATCTCATAACTATTCAATGTTTTATGATTTCTATTGGTTGCTTAACTAAGACCAATCAACGAAGTTAACTATGACAATTTTACTATTCAATAAATTTCTGGGATTATTAATCATATATATATATATATATATATATATATATATCAGTGGAGATAGTAGTATTAGTATTACTACTACTACTACTACTACTACTACTACTACTACTACTACTACCATTAGTTGTATTAGTAATAACAGTAGAAATTCAATGCCATAAACCCTGGTCCGGATAGGAAATTTAGAATCGCAAACACCTTTAGTAAGTTTATTTACAGAAGTTTGAGAATAAAATAATGGAATATAACGCTTATTGTGATACTGGTTGATCATTTAAAAAAGAGAAATCGTTGTACTTCTAATGGATTGTAAACTAATGATGAACAACATTTTCTTTCTCCACTTTCATTGTAATAGCCAAATTTTTCAACAGAAGTAGTCTTTGTGAAGATATTCTAAGATTGGATTAAAGGCTCAGTTTGAATTGAAGTTATCTGGGTAACTGTAAAAAAATCGTGAGATTTCATAATGTTGTTTTCTATTGAGTGTGAAGCGGCAGATGCGCGTTTACTTTTACAGCGTCCTGAACTTCAATAAAACAAATATCTAATTCTCTTCGATACTCATTGTTATTTTCCTAAGGCTGACGATTTGTAATAAAAACTGACCTTCTATTGCGAACTTAAAAGAATCACAGGTGACTATGAATTTCGAAGTAAATCCTGAAATTATTGTGAGTCGAACGTCGACTGAATTTTCAAAAGAAATACTTTACACAGTGAGCTCACCTAATATGAAGAAAATATTTAATTTTATAAGTGCTGACTTTGTAATTGTCTTTCAAAGTTAAACATTGCATGAGTCAAGACAAAGCAAACGTAAAATATATTCTTGCAGCATTTAAATGCGAACATATAATCCAGTTAACCGTGCTCATAACTGCCAAACCAGATATTAAAACATCAGAAATTTAGAGGATTATATACATACCATTCTTACACTAATAACCTATCGAAGCAGATGCTTCTTTAGATGTGGTTTGATGGTATTTAAAAATACCGGAATGTTTACCTAAATATTTTTACTTTGGATTATCCTCAATGTGCAAAGAAGGGGCTCAATATGGTTTAACGTAGAAATCATCACCAATCTTCGAAGCGGAATGATTTGTAAAAGTATTGTGATACACTGAAAACTGAGATAGCCAAATCTGAGACATTTGATGCTTACCCTAATTAAATTCCCTAATAGATTGTAAAACAGGGCTTAAATGTTCCTAAACACAATTCCTGTTTTTTCGTACATTAATCGAAGGTAAACATAGAACATGCCCCATCAACACTGTATGCAAATAGTTGTTCTTGATAAAAGTCTCCTCCAAAAACCAATATTATTCACAAACAATCATTGAAGACACTATCCACCTAACAGTAAATTACAGTAATTACATCATTTAAATGTAATTCAAGTGTATTAACAATTCAATAACCCAACATCTTCAGATTATCTGAAATGTTTAACAGAATAAAATCATTGAAATGATTAATATCAATGAATTTATTTTAAAAGAATAAATGACTGATTTCATCATAAACAAATTAAGCAATAGAAGTACAATTAATATCCATGAAACATAGAAACTATTCAAAAAAAATTTTTTCACAGGGCAACTTTTCATTATGAATTCTTAATAAAATTAAACCCGATCGAATGAATTCAAATCAGTTTAATTTACACACAATAATACAAATGAATACAGATATATATAACAATGAATAGAATAAATAAAGTAGGATTGAATAATGTCAGTCATTCATATGTTGATTAGTTATACAGTTCATGACCTTAAATCTCTGTCCTCAAGTTATTCGAATCAAATAGATTATGTATAGACAGCTTATAATAAAATGTATACTATGTGTGTACTATAATAATTTGAATGAAATTTTAAGAAAAAATATTGACATTTCAGCAAACTGTTTATAATTTATTCAGTAGTATACAAATAAGATAAACATCATAAATTTCAATTTTAAACTTAAGATTAATTTCCGTTTTGAAATAATTCAATGAACTAATTTCTTGTGAATAAACAAATTTTGAAAGATCTATTGGCCTATATTGTTATAGGTAGTCGATATACTTAGTTACTGAAGAAATACATATCTCAATAATGTAAGTGGAATATGAAAAAGAAGGGAGATATTTACGATTACTTAATGACATTGTCAGTAAATAATAATGAAAATGAATTCAACAATTACTGGATCTTTGAATTATGGAATGTTTTGGTTTGTTTGTTCCTAGGCTTCTTCAAATCTGAACTCATGATAGCTACTATTGAGTGTCAAGATTGGTGATCAATTAACCGCTTCTCTCACTCAGACGAGTATGAAAATAACGCATCTCAGTTGTTTAGAGAAAACAGATCATGTCTTAATGAAGCGGTTGAAATTATTTCTGAGATTTGGTGCAAAGTATTACAGAGTGGCTGTTATTGTTCTTTTTATGAGGAAATTTTCTCAGAAAACACATTGGTTACTATTTAAGAAACACCAGGTTACAAATATATCTTTAACATTAAACTAACTGAATTTATTATACATGAAGTAAATTGATGTCGCTTAACATCAGTTGTCGTAATTGAGACGCATTTTATCATATAGATTTTAAGTGCTTTATGAAATATTAACGAACAAATGATCATGATATTTTTTTGAGAGTAAAATAGACGCTTATCCTGTTGCACTTTTGAAAAGAGAACAGAAGATCTATATGGTTGAACTGCTTTATAGTTTTCAGAACAGTTTTCACTTTTATTATCACAATTACTATCAGATAAATGTTTTAATGAATCATGTTAATCATTTTGAGATAAATGGACTTTCCTAGCTCACAAGGGGAAAACCAAGGTCTTCAAATACAACATGGAAAACAGCAATCCAATCAATCTTGATGGCGAAACTCTGGAAGATGTAGAATCCTTCACATACCTGGAAAGCATCATCGATGAACAAGGAGGTTCAGATGCAGACATAAAGGCGAGGATTGGCAAAGCAATGATAACATTCCTACAATTGAAGAACATATGAAACTCAAAACAACTTTCAACCAATACCGAAGTCACAATCTTCTATACGAACGTCAAAACAGCCAGTTCTACTGTACGGAGCTGAGACTTGGAGAACTACAACGACCACCATCAAGAAAGTACAAGTATTTATAAATAGCTGTCTACGCAAGATACTCAACATCCATTGGCCGGATACCATCAGCAATAGCCTTCTGTGGGAGAGAACAAACCAACTTCCAGCTGAAGAAGAAACTAGGAAAAGACGATGGAAATGAATAGGACATACATTACGCAAATCGTCAAACTGCATCACGAGGCAAGCCCTGACTTGGAATCCTGAAGGGAAGCGGAAAAGAGGAAGGCCAAAGAACACATTGCGTCGGATAATAGAAGCAGATATGAAAAGGATGAATTACAATTGGATGGAGCTAGAAAAGATTGCCCAGGACAGGGTTGGATGGAGAATTCAGATGAGTGGCCTATGCTCCTTCACGACGAGTAACAGGCGTATGTAAGTACGAAACTTGGGTATTCGCAAAAAAAATTTACCCGAAAATCAATTTGAAACAAAAAATAACCATTGGTTCAACTAATCTGTCTCATTATCGGTTAGCAATCTTTATGAGTTACGGTATGGTTCAAAACTATTTTTTTGTATCAGAGATGATATACGATTAAAACATGAAATATTGGTTTTTCTCTGGTATAGTTACTGTTGTTAGATTTAACTATCGGTAAAATGTACTTGCCAGTAGAAGTCACCTTAAATACTTCAGTTAGAAAGTGTAAAACTGTCGCCAAATCTAGTGATTTGGATATAAATACGTTAGGAACTGAATGAAGATATTACAATGAAATCAGCAATATATATATATAGTACAACTATTCTAGTCTGATAATAAGACACTAAATACTGTTCCATATATTCATAACTATAGTAAACTTTGTGACGAGAATGTTTTTGTCATCATTTTTATGATTATTAAGTGTTTCAATGTTATTTTACTTATTAAGCTTGTCACTTAATAAAATATCGAGGCAATCCGCACAAGGTGCACATACGCCAACAAAAGACTGATCACTTGTAGTCCTAAATAACAATGGGAAGATACAAGTTAATGACATCAATTGAATTTAAAACTTCACCCCACTACATAAACAGGTGGCTATTGGAACTCAGTAGCTAAGTGGATAAAGCAATAGCGTTTGAAGCGAACGATAGTGGGTTTGTGTCGTAGAGTGAGGATCAACACTAATACTCAGGTAAATCCAGCTGACGAGCCACAAATAGAACGAAACGCACGTCCTGGATTCCACTGCTAGTCACTATCCATCTTCATTACGTTATAGGATGTTTGAATATTTATTTAATGTAAGCTTAGTATTTTACTTATCATCAAATATGACTAATGTATGTGTTAAAATAACATAAATATTTCACATGTATTGGTTGTTTGAATCTTCCATTGATGTTGATCAGTCTCTTTTAAGCATATGTGCATTTCAAATGGATTTTCTCGATATTGCCATTGAATAACAAACATTAGAAACAAAGATGGAAAGTTCAAACAGCCAGTACAAATGAACTGAACTCCACTGCATTGTAGAAACGGCTATCTGGACTCAGTAGCTAAATAGATAATTCCGTGACGCTTGAAGTAATCGGTACTGCATTTAAGTAAACATCAACTCTGAAATGGATGTATTTCCAGCTTACAAGCTCCAAATAGGCCGAAACATGTGTACTGCATTCCACTGCTAGTCATCAGGCATTATTGCTTATAGATGAATGTTTTATTGATATACAATTATACTTTGATGAGCTTATTGTAAATAATACATGCCAAATAAGGTTTTATTCTCAAAACTCACCATCGTTTCACACCTAAAGCATCGGTTGTTTAAATGAATGAATTTTTATTTAAGGATTTCAATGTTAAACTCATCTATAGATGAATATACTGAGCACAGTATAATCTCGTCGTTATGACACATTATCATTTAAATATCTTAGTCATAATTTTATCTGAAACTTGAGTAGTCATCCCACAGTGATAAAATTTTTAAAAAAAATGGTATAGTAGAAAATATCATTAAATTTATTCAACATTATATCAAGAATCCTTCCTATATGTAGATTTACTTGTACATTGACAACTACATTCAGTTACAATTGGTAAATGTACTCTATACCAATTACATTTGGATAAAGGCCATTTTTCAGGGCATATATAACGTAGTATAGCTATATTCTTTGTATTTTTCTCTTGACAATACATTCCAGGAGGTAGTGAACATGAAGTATTAGCTAAATTAACACATTGACCAGTTTTAATCCATCTTGGCCAAAATTTTGATCCTAAATCATACCATATATAATATAATGGGCAATTATTATAATCATTTAAAAATTCTCGTAGAATACGTTTTAATTGACGATTTTTTTTCATTTGATTATATTTAAAATATTTTTGATTCGATTGAAAATGTAACAATTGATCATTGAATTGATTTTTATATTTTAAATTTTCAATTAATTTTAATCGATGCATTATATTTTGAAAAAATTGATTTAAATTAGTATCTATGTGATTATATTTTTTTCTTTTTTTATATGAATCATAAATATTTAAAAAATTTTGATGATTTTTTGATTTAATTTTACGTGATCTTCGATTTCTATTTAATGATAATAATGTTTCAAATGTATTTTTATTATCATTTATAAAAGTTGATGAAATTAATCTACCACTTGGAAACATGATAGCTTCCCATGGTTTATTAAATGACATAAATTCACTATTAAAATTTTGTCCACCTAATAAACGAATCATTTCATTATGTTTTAATAATACATGATTATGAAATGGTCGTTCATTAGGTATTAATGGAATTTGATTAGGGAATATAGTTAATTGATTAGGTTGAATCATTTGATTAGTTATTCTTAAATTTGAATTCATCTCTGCTTTTATATGAACTGGATCATTTTTTAATCTTTGAAAAATATTTACATTTCCGGATGTTTGTAAATTATGATAAAATTGTAAAGGTTTTGATTTATTAAATTTCATTGATGTATTATTACTGATTTCATTGTTTGTATTAGGTGTATAATATAAAGTTGGTTTTTCCATTTGATATGAATTTATATTTCGATTTTGAAATAAATGCCATAAATAATTTGAAATATTCAATTTATCAACTGAGTTACCATGGTTACTCATAAGATTCACATCTTGTAAATCATTGACAATATATGTTGATTTTGATGTAATTCGATTTGAATAAATTAAAGGTAAATCAATGAAAATACATATAAATATTATTAATTGAATGTATATATTAGACATTGTTAAACATTAATCTATATTGCATAGTGAACATATACTCTATACACTGTACATGTTTAATAGTTATAGTTGCTAGGGTGATTCTGAAATTTTTATTTATATCATAATTTTATTTATTAAAATTGAAATTATTTATTGATTATTAATTGAAATTGAAAATACGACTAATTTGTATGTCTATTATTCAATGGATAAGTAGTATGTTAAATTTTTTTTTGTTTTTCTTCTTTAACTATTCCATCTGGTCAATTGAAATAGAATTATATTTGATTAATTAGATGTTGTATAGCGGTAATAGTTGGTATATGAGTTATTTCTCTTTACAAATGAAACATTTTGTTTTTTTCTGCATTGTTGTATTGTTTCAACTGACCTTGAAAGTTTTGTGAATAGGTGAAATATTATTTTCTATTCATTTTATTATAAACAAAATAGACATTCATAGATATCGGGGGGGGGAACGATAGGGAGAAAACAAAATCAGTTATATTTTATATTGACCAATAGGCGATTGGTTTTATGATATAAATTTGTTCATTGTGTATAGAACAACTTTTTCTCTAAAGAAGTAATTTTAATAAAATGATATAATCTCAACTGATAAAAATCATAAATAAGACTTGATTGGGAATTTTGAGTAGTATGAACATAATGTTCATTTACTACTAAAAATTAGGTTGGTTATTTTGTCTTAGTTACCAATTAAAGGGGATCTATTGTTATTTACAAGTAGACAAGCCATCTAAATTTAAAAAAAGAACATTAGAAACTCATCACATTCCAAAGAAAAGTAAATTTACTTTTCAATATTTTCATTCAAATAATCACTTACTATAGTATACTTTTCTTATGACAATAAAACGTATTAATTCATAGAAAAGAATGCTACATTACAGATTTTTATCAACTCGCACAAGTATAAACCGTAATGAACAATCAATCAACTTTTTGAGTTGCGCTAGTAACTTTCAGACGTTGTCAAATACACGTTTCTATGTTCCTGAGTCATGGATGTACACTTTTGAAAGTCCTATACTGGGACGAAGCGGACGTCTAGTGCTTCCAGGTTTTTAATAGAAGTCAAACTCAGGTTAGTTTGTGACTTCAATAATGAAAATACTACAATCTTCATAAATCCCTTATACTAAGTATGTATCAGTTGAAATTAAAATTGTGTGAAACTCATGTCCGTCTGACAACTAACGGATTACGCTTCAAGTTAACGTTGAATTAATTAAAATAATATAGTAATAATCATCACAAGCCTATACTGATGAAATAAAGGGATAATATAAGAAATCGGAATGACTAACTATTTAGACCCTACAAGCTATGTAATTCAGTTAATGAAATTACATTTTTCTGCATACAATTAGCGACACTGAGTTATACGGCTGTAAAGTAAACTTCGGATCTTATTAATGTTCATAAAACTGGAAATACTTTGTGAAAATATAGTTTCGTAATGACAACAACTTCTAAATAAATTTTCTTCTTCGGATAACAAGAATATTTAGGTCCATTCATATCTATATTCTACACTTGAATTGGTTCAAATTAATACAATCTGTGTTTTTTTTGGTTTGCTTAGTGAGAAAACAAACTTGTATCCATTAGTGGAAAATGTTGCCATCAAGTTAGTATTTGAAATCGATGACCATGGAGGCAGCTTTAAGATCCTAGATATTAAAATAGTCAGTCGTAGTACATTTAGAAGCATAGAGATAAATACCTATCAATTTTCCCATTTAATGTTTTGATATATTTAAATCTCACTCTATCGTACCGTATTCAAAATACAAAAAAGTATCAAGTCAGAAATTATTTTAAAGGTTTAAACTGACAGCCATTAAAAAAACATACAAAGTCCAAAATTAAAACAAATTTATAATATAATAAGGTGAATTATCATGATTTCTTCAACTAAACATTTATTCACCGGGTTATCAGATCACCTGAAGAATCATTTAAATTGAACAAATACTTTGAAACAACAAACATTTATAACATTCAACAATCTTTAGTAATTATCTATGATAGGAATCAATAAATAAAGAAAGTAAGTATCTTTTGAAATTTCGAGTTGGAAAGATACTTCTTGTTTGATATGCAACTTGAAAGAATGTGAATTAGTGAGATAAAAAATATGAAGACGAATAAATTTGATGTAAATCAAACAAAATTCATATTAATGAAACAAACAAATAAAAATATATCATCAGAATGGAGTTTTGCGAAGATTTTAATAATTTAATGGTTGAATCCATGAGTCAATTAAAGCTAGACCACCGTGGAAAACCTGAAAGCACTGGACAATCGTTGACAGTAACGCAATTTCATGGATTAGTTGAAGTTAGACATCAGCACTGTTGGATGTCGGCTCAGCGGTCTAGAGGTTAAGTGTTCTCGTGCGAGACCGATAGATCCCGGGTTCGAATCCCGCGAGCAGGATCGTGGGTGCGTGCTGCTGAGGAGTCCCATACTACGACGAAACGACCTTTCAGTGCTTCCAGGTTTTCCATGGTGGTCTAGCTAAAATTGAATCATGAAATGAACTATTAGATTAACAAAAAGATGTTCTTAACCTGATGAATAGTAAAATAAACCCCAATCACATGTTTCTCAATAGGTGTTTTCATATTTTCGTCAAAATATATCTGTAATTGTGACTGGAAATTACTAAATACTAATTACCTCAAGATGCTAAAAATATAATCACTAATTATTAACGTAAAATAAACACACAGGTAACAATAGAATGCGCCATTTAATATAATCCTTTGAAGTGTTTGATTTTATTTATGATCTACTCCATAGTATCAGCTGTTATGGGTTATTGATTTTTCGACACAACCAAATATTTTGATGTATTCAGGGGCTAAAAATTATGGTAGCTTACATAATATTTAGGGATAGTAGATAATTCATTCGGAATTCGACAGAGTGTATACAAATAATTTTGATAATAATAATAATAATTATCATTATTATTATTGCTATTACTCGTATCATAAGTCCACCCATGGTGAAGAAGATTTGTAGCTCAGGTGGGTGATTTTGATAAAGTTTTGTTCTCTGAGCTGGATGGTTTGGTCGTGGAGCTTTCATCGTTCTTCTGAACGACATCATCAGCACAGGAAAATCATGCACAAATATAGGAACAAAAATCAAACCAATTGGAGACACAACCAAAACAAAGAAGTGAACAATGACAAATTTAAGGTCATTAAGAACCAGTCAACATCGAGGTGCACAGAACAAGCTGTGGGAAATTCGAACACTTCACTTCTATCTGAAGTTTGTGCTGATGATGTCGTTAAGAAGAACGATGAAAGCTCCAGGACCAAACCATCCAGCTCAGAGAACAAAACTCCATCAAAATAAGTCCACTCATGGAAATCATTCTTGTGAAAAATAAAATAGTATGAACAAAAACTGTTATCAATAGTTTACTATCAAGGTCTTAATAACATGAACAAATCAATATTAATTTTAATGTATTAATGCTTAGAGAATAGTGTAATTTGTTTATTCTATAGGTTTTTAATTTACAAATTATGATGATTTACCATAGAGTCTAACACTATTCAATCTAATCTACTAGAAAATCAATATTAAATAAACAGTTTTTTTCATTTACATTTTCAGTTTCCTCAAAAATACCCCTAAAATCAATAAATTTAATATTATTTCTTTATTCTATTCTAATTAGTTTATTATTCGAACTTATACATTGATTTAATGGCACCTATCTCTTTCTCTCTCTTCCTCTCCCTTTTTACACATTTTTATTCATAAAACACACTGAACATTATTTCTTTTACTATAAACAACAATCATGTAGATATTCCATATATTGAAATAAATATTTACCACGATACACAGAGACAAAATAACTTTTTTTCTTCATATTTATTGTGATATTGTTTTTACTGTGAAAAAAAGAGAAAAACGAAAAAAAAAGAAAAAAAGTAATAATATTGATGAATATGTGAGACAATATGTAGTGAATAAAGTTTTTTCCTCTTTCTCTCTCTCTCTCTACAATCTTTCTCTATACTTTTGTGTGTGTGTGTGTGTATTTGCTTGACAACTTGAATAAAGATATTCAAAAAAAACTAGTTTGTTATTCTTATCATGGTAACTGTTATTATTTGTATATTTTAGTTACCTGTCAGTATTCATCGTAAATTTTATTTAGTTTGATTATTATCGGTAGTTTATTTATAATAATGATGATAATAACATTTAATGGTGAAGTATATATATGTATGGACACTGAAATGACAATTTATGGTGCCAATGTCTTGGGGCTTTATTTAAACAAAATAAACTTTATAATGTTTTTACATATATAGAAATAGAATCATAAAAACTATTTCTGTAATAAACGAAAATTATTACTGAAGATTTACATACACATTGAATGACTGTAATTAGGCGCCATAATATTATACAATTTACACTTTTGTTCAAGATAAATAAGGCGCCATACTTGATTATACGACACACAAATAAAGAGATGTAATAGAATTTATGAACATTACCATAATTATAATACACATTGTGTCGTAATATGTAAGCGTATAAAAATAAATGGTACTTTGTTTTCAAGTTTGTAATGCGTTTATCCATGTCATTTATTGCATGTTAATTATATAGACATTGGAAAATTGAAATAAGTAAGTTTATACCTGTTCATCATGCATAAATAGTAAAGTAATCAAATGTTATTATTTTTCTAAAATATTTTTAGTATTTAATTAAAATGAACAACTAACCTAAGGTAATTACCATGTGAATTCACATATAAGGAGGTAGAAAAGCATTTTCTATAACAGTTATAAATATATAGGTAAATATCTGAATGAAAGGCGTATACTAAGTGAAAGCAGAATTATTGAACATTATTGTTATGAATTGATCAAAACGGTAAACATGGATGGAATTTGAATTTATTATATTCGTGCTGATTGTAGAACAAGTAACTCTTAACAGGTTTAGATGTCATAATGAGATCTGAGTTTACAATTGATTAGCCAGTAAATATGAACGAGTATCATGTTATATAGTCCCATAGCGCGGAATGAATTTCATCAATCAATTGTAAAATCTGTCTTACAGTAGGCAATTCGCTGCTCATTGTCTTCAACTGTGAACGTGGTTGCTGGTGTTTGGAATCCTACAAAGAACGTCACTTCCAAATAGCATAAAATCTAGGTTCAGATTTTCCTGTCGACTATTTTCAGCAAGCGAAAACTATAAGAATCTCGAGCTTGTAAACTTATATTAGAAATCATGTAGTTAAATCGTTTGGATAATCAAATATGTAACCACACTTACAGCACAGTGGCCTTTTTCAAATCTCT